AACCAGAGCTGGGAGACCTGGGAATGGACTGGCCACTCTCTGGGACAGAAGTCGTTAAGGTAGTCGGACAACTACACAGCGGCTGAGCCCCTGGGGTGGATGAGATCCGACCTGGATATCTCAAGGCTTTAGATGTTGTAGGACTGTCTTGGTTGACACGTCTCTGCAACGTTGCGTGGTCATCGGGGGGCAGTTCCTGTGGAGTGGCAGACCGGGGTGGTGGTCCCAACTTTTAAAAAGGGGAACCAAAGTGTGTGTTCCAACTATAGGAAGTATGTGTAGATTAAGGGACTCTAAAAACAGTATAATCCAGTCCCTGACAAACCCCACACAGAGTTCTGTCATGTTTTATTCTAATATTCTCAATTATTGGCGTTTTTACCTTTATGAGAGCGTAAAATAGCTTGCATGCATTTTACCTATTTTAATTATCAATTTTTTTCTTACTATCTGTTATGGACCTTCTTATGTCTTTAATAATGTGATTGATTGACTGACTCACTGACTGACTGATTGATTGATTGATTGACTGATTGATTGATTGATATAGGGCGATCACACTTCTCAGCCTCCCGGGAAAGGTCTACTTATAGGTACTGGAGAGAGGGGTTTGGTTGATAGCTGAACCTCAGATAGAGGAGCAGCAATGTGGTTTTTGTTCTGGCCGTGGAACTGTGGACCAACTCTTTACCCTTGATAGGGTGATGGAGGGGTCATGGGAGTTTGTCCAACCAATCCACAACTGGCCACATGTGTTTTGTGGATTTGGAGAAGGCTTATGACTGTGTCCCCAGAGGCACCCTGTGGGAGGCACTCCAGAAGTATGGGGTGGGTCGTCTTTTGCTGAGGGCCATTCAGTCCCTGTACCAGAGGAGTGTGAGTTTGGTCCACATATCCGGCAGTAAATCGCACCTGTTCCCAGTGGGGGTTGGACTCCGCCAGGGCTGCCCTTTGTCACCGGTCCTGTTCAGAATGTTCATGGACAGGATTTCTAGGCGCAGCCCTGGTGTTGAGGGTATGGAGTTTGGTGGCAGGATAATCTCATCTCTGCTTTATGCAGATGATGTGGTCTTACTGTTGTCATCAGCGGGGAGGAGTTCAAGTATCTCTAGTTCTTGTTCACGAGTGAGGGAAAAATGGAGCATGATATTGATAGGCAGATTGGTGCTGTGTCTGCAGTAATGCGGGCGCTGTACCGGATACAAGTGGCTTAAATTTTCTGCGGGTTGGCTGGGCTCAGCCTTAGGGATAAGATGAGGGGCTCTGACATTCGGGAGAGACTCTGAGTAGAGCTGCTGCTACTCCATATTGAGAGGAGTCAGTTGAGGTGGTTTGGGCATCATGTTAGGATGCCTTCTGGATGCCTCCCCAGGGAGGTGTTTCACGCATGCCCTGCTAGCAGGAGGCCCCCTGGTCGACCCAGGACACTTTGGAAAAAGTACATCTCCATACTGGCCCAGGAACGTCTTGGGGTCCTGCTAGAGTAACTGGTGGAGGTATCCGGGGAGAGGACGGTCTGGAACTCCCTAGTTGGGATGCTGCCTCCGCAACCCGGACCCGGATAGGTGGAACAAGATGAGATGAGAAGATCAAAATAAGATAAAACAGTTGGACATAAAGACAACAGACTGTTCTCATTTACAGTACGCAAGGAATTATTGAAGGTAGATAATGGAATGTAGGTAGTCAGCTTCAGTGGTTTCTGCAGCTCATTCCAGTCATTGGAAGAGGCAAACTGGAAAAAGGACCGGTCAAAGAGGGTGCGAGCTTTGGCACTAACCATAGAGATTAAGTTACTGGAATGTAAATGGTGCTGGTTGTTGGAAGAGATGAGTAATGAGTGAAGATATGACGGGTTCTACTGATGATTGTTTTTTATATGAACTGATACCATTGTAATGTGGCAAGGTGGAGAAACGAGGGCCCGGGCAGGAATCGATCCCCAGACTCCTGGGTGAGAGTCATACACGCTAGCCAGTCAGCCAAAGGGACATCCCTTTGGCCAAGTAGCCAGGGCGTATGATTAATCGGGTCACAGTGACAGGACACTCACACTAACAACTTCCCCCCTCTTTTCACAAGCACGTCCTCGTGCTCCCGCGCAGGGTGCCACAAACTTCAAATCCATGGACCTACTTGATAGTACTACATGGATCCTGCTGACAATGCCAAATTCAGCAAGGTGGAGATACGAGGGCCCGGGCGGGATTCGATCCCCAGACTCCCGGGCAAACCAGTCAGCCACAGGGATATCCCCTTGGCCAAGTAGCCAGGGCGCATGATCAATCGGGTCACAGTGACAGACACTGTCACACCTTCATTGGTAAACTGTTTAAAATATGTTTATTCTGGTGAGAGTTGGACTCTGCCAAGGCTGCCCTTTGTCACAGATTCTGTTCAAAACTTTTATAGACAAGATTTCTAGGTGCAGCCAAGGTGTTGAGGGCATCTGTTTTGGTGGCCTGAGGATCAAGTCTCTGCTTTTTACAGATGAAGAGGTCTTGTTGGCTCAATGGTTCCCGGCTCTCACTGGAGCGGTTTGCAGCCAAGTGTGAAGCAGCTGGGATGAGAATCAGCTCCTCTAAATTCGAGACCATGGTCTTTTTTCTTGTTTTTATCGTGTCCCGTTTGGCTGTGAAGCAATCATAATTTATGCTTGAATATCAAAGACAAGCCTTGCGGTATTATTCTCACAGGTTATCGCGCGAGACCATGGTCTTGAGTCGGGAAAGGGTAGAATGCCTTCTCCGGGTTAGGGATGAGGTCCTACCTTAAATGTAGGAGTTTAAGTGTCTTGGGGTCTTGTTCACAAGTGAGGGAAAGCTGGATCAGGAGATAGATAGGTGGATTGGTGCTGAGTCTGCAGTGATGCGACCGTTGTACCGGTCTGTCATGGTGAAGAGAGAGCTGAGCTGGAAGGCAAAGCTCTGGATTTACCGGTCGATCTACGTTCCTACCCTCACCTATGGTCACGAGTTTTGGGTAGTGACCGAAAGAACGAGATCACAAATACAAGCAGCCAAAATCAGTTTTCTCCGCAGGATGGCTGGGCTCTCCCTTAGAGATAGGGTGAGAAGCTCGGTCATCTGGGAGGGGCTCGGAGTAGACCCGCTGCTTCTCCACATCGAGAGAAGCCATTTGAGGTGCTAGTTAGGATGCCTCCCTGGTGAGGTTTTCTGGGCACATTCCCATGTGGCTGGGAAGAGGGAAGTCTGGGCCTCCTTGCTTAAGGTTGGTTTATGCTTGACGCACGTCCGCACGGCTCTGCGCGTAAAAGTTGCGTCATTTTAACAACCACGCCCCTCCACCGCGCCTCCGCACGGCCCAAAATTTCCGCAACGCGCACCTAGGAAATTTTCTAACCACGCGGACGGTTGGACGTGGAAAAACATGGCGGACTGGCAAGAGCTGATATGGCAGAGGTTCGTAAATATAGACATTTGTATGATTCAGCTCTCAGAGATCACTGTGATCAACATGTTGTTAATAATTCTTGGAGAGAAATAGCTCGCACTGTCGGAAAAGACGAGAACGCTGTTAAAAATGCTGGAATGCCATGTTGTAAACAGTAATTTCTACTTCTACTATTGTGTTGTGTTGGATGCATGCCGTAGAGCTCCATGCTGCCCCCTACAGTTTGGGAGAATATTGGCTCACCGCAGAGACAAGCCGCATGAACCATAAACGCTGCAAGTTGTGAAGCTCGTTCCATCCGCGAGCCGCATCACCAAGCGGAAAGTGAATGCGTCAAGCATAAACCAAGCTTTAGGCTGCTGTCCCCGTGACCCGACCTAAAGCAGCTGCAAATGGATGGATGGATCCAAGTCATCCTATTTGTAGCTGCTTTCACATCAGGACCAGCCCAGGTATGGTAGAAATGGTCCAACACACCACTGCTGACTGACTGGCTGGCTCAAAATAAAGTCTACAATTAGGAGGAGCCTCTGACTGGTGGGTTGAATCAACCAGGGGGGGGGGGGCTTCCTGCATGTGCAAATAATTATCATTCTGACTGAAGCTATCTCTGTCTGAGGACACCCACCCACACACACACACACACACACACACACACACACACACACACACACACACACACACACACACACACACACACACACACACACACAGCAGTCTGGATGCAATATCAGACTCAGTCCCCAAATTAACACTAAATGTCACACACTGGTGTGTGTGACATTTTTTCTCTGCATTTGACCCATCCCCGTGGGGAGTGATGAGCTGCAGCTGCGGCTGCGCTGGGGAGCCATTTAATGGTTTAACCCTCCAGTCCAACCCCTTAAAGTGTCCCATTGTTAACGTCTGTGATATGACCCAACCAGTATTTGAACCCCGATTTCCCAATCTCAGGGCGGACACTCTACCACTAGGCCACTGAGCTAGTAAGGTACCCCACCAACCTCTGCACGCCTACAACCAAGGTCCAGTCACCCAGCAGAAAGGGAAAACACCAGTAAATAATGTCGCCAAGTCTTTCCTAAAGACTTAACAGTAGTTAAATAAATCCTCATCTTACCTTCCTCCGCTTTTCCGGAGTCTGGGTCACGGGGACAGCATCCCAAGTAGGGCCTCCCAGGCAAGTCTGCCAGCTCCTCAGCTGGGGCACCCAGGCATTCCCTGGACAACCTGGAGATGTATTTCCTCCAGGTTCTCGTGGGACGACCCAGGGGTCTCCTGCTGGCAGGACATTCCTAAAACACCCCCAGAGGGAGGCGTCCAGGAGGCATCCTGACCAGATGCATGAACCACCTCAAACCTTAAGAAATCACAAAGAGAAATTCCCCTTATCTTGGAGGCTAATAAAAAGTAGTCCCATGAGCAACATGTGCGTCCGCCGTCTTGGACTGAACTATGTTGTATATTGCAGATAGCTTGGTCATGTTTACACACAACCTTACTTGGTGCAACCCTGGAAGTTATTCATATTTTACACAAACACACCTCTAGGTGGTGGCATGACTTTGGCTTTCCTCTGGTTTCAGATTAAACACCTGGTTGAGAAGAAGAGAAGCTTGATAAACGACTTCTGGAAGGTTCACATGAAATCCAGGAAGTGTCCTCACTGCAGGTAAACCCACTTGATGGATTTGTTTAAATGGATCATGCTTGTCATCGTAACCCCATCAGTACATGGGCCTGATGCTGTGTTGTCTGTGAGCAGAGCGGGCAGGTCAACGGTTCGCCGTGAACACAACAGTAAGCTGATTGTCACGATGCCATCAGGAGGACAAACTGGTGACCGCACTAATGGTGAGGAACCGTCACCTCCTGTTACGTTGAGGGGGCTGCCAGTCCGATCCACAAGGCTGTCAGGCAGGCGTGGGTCTAATAACTGCATGATTCATTTATCACGCTGCATTAAATAAAGCCAGACTCATATCAGAGCCAGGGCTGAGCTCTTAGGTAACCAAGGTCACCAAGCTCTGTGGTCAAACCTTAACCAGTGCGTCACTGAGCTGCAGCTGTGAAAACGCAAACGCAGCTTGTTGATCCAGTAAACATGACTTGTTTCTGCTCTTGTAGAAGATCTGATGACTGGAAAGAGGGTCTACCTGACTGCCAGCACAGCCCGAGAACACGTCAACAAAGTCTGGGAGAAAGAAGGTAACGTGTCATTTCAGTCAGGACTAGTTTCACGAAGAGGAAATGTTTAAAGGTTGCTTTAAATGCTAAAAGCCAAGGGTCAACCTTCGCCTGCCACAAAGGAAACCAACGCAGGAGCGCCGAATGCTGCAGTTCCACCCTCAGCCACTAGGGGCTGACTCCAGAAAGCAGCAAATCCTCATCGAATCCCATGTTGAATCCAACTCCTCAGCAGAAATAAACATGTTTACAGCCTGGTTCAAAAACCCTTTTAGGATTAATAGCTCTAGTTTACTCTCATGACAACTCTGAATGTGTAACTTATCTGTAGAGGTGTGATTAAAGTTTGAAGTTGGAATACTTAGGGGCATGTTCTTCTGATTGACGGGTAGCAGATGGCCTGTCAGTGCTAGCGCTAGCAGCTAGCCTCCTCTTTGTTCTGTTTGTTCGACTATCATTTTTATGGTTCATCACACACAGAGCAAACAGGTTATATTTACCTTTGCTGGCGTGTTTCAGCGTCCACTGCTGCCTTCGTCGGAGCTCTGGTGGAAGAGGTAAAAAAACAAACAAGTTCTGGCAGCTAGCCTCCTGCTCCAGGAAAGGCCCCTGCCTCGGCCTCATGTTGGGAAGTGTTACAGCCTAGAAGGCAGACGGCTGCAGAGTCACTCAACCACAGCTTTTGTTAGCGTCAGTTAGCTTGTAGCTACATCGGCTGTGTGGGGGGGGGGCATCAGTTTCAGTACGAAGAAGTCAGCTGGAGGAGAAAGTAGCTACAGACGGCAGGATTTGGAGTCTTGTTTGCTGATATTTGGACATCTGGACAGACTGATGGAGCATGGCTCTGAGGTCCATGTTTGACAACGGCAGAATTATTACAATTTAGATGCATTTAATCTGCACATGAATTTATGTTTACTATTTCTCAACACCGCTCGACGGGAGTTAACGTTTGAATACTTTACCGGAGGAAAATCTCTGCTACATCAGTTCAGCTAATTGATACAGCCCTGCTCTGAGCTGCATTGTTGTCCTTCCTGGAGTGATGAGACTCAAGGTTTGGCCATCATGGTGGTAGTAGGAGCTGTCCAGTGGGCTTCAGTTCAGTTCAGCTCTACAGGTGCTGGCACTGAGGGTCGGTCCAGTATGTAACAGTAGCATCCTTATGAGGACACGTCCTTCCTGGTCAGCGTAGGCTGGGTCCTTCTTTCACCACTAAGACCAGAAGTGATGGTCCAGTAACACGACGGCGTTTTAACGCTTTGGCCTGGGATGGCCTCTGGTAATGAGAAGTTCAGCAGTAATCAGGACGCGTCTTGAGTGTCCTTTGAACTTGGACAGCCTCGTCGCTCCGTCGTAACCCCATTGTCCCTAAAATACGACCTTGGAAGGATGCGGACCCTAGAGGTGGACACCGTGTCTTATTTCTTTATTTTCCAGAAGAGCATGAGGGACATTGTTGGACACAGCCAGTCATTGGCATCTTTGTGTCTCCAGGGTTCTTCCTAAGGTGTCTGTTCCCTGGACTGGAGGAGACCAGTGGGTCTAGAGCCTCAGAGACGGGTTTCCACCCGGACCTCTTCTTCCTCGAGCTGCTGGTGGTTCCACCTTGCAGGTATGACATCACCACCTGCAGCACCTAGAGCCAAGGGTCCTTTAACAGTAACAGCCTCTTTGGTGACCTGGACCACGATGACCACATCCTGTCTCCATCAGGTATCGTCCAATCAACCGACTCGGGGACCAGATGTTCACCAACGGTCAGACGGTCAATATGCAGGCTGTGATGAAGGACTGTGGAGTCATCAGAAAGCTTCTGGCTCTTCTAGCTGGAGAGAAGAGCCCAGAGGAGACGGAGGTGACGCTGCTGTAGAAGCAGCTGTGGGTCCATCAGGTACTTCTGAGACTCTCTAACTGGATCTTCTTCCTTCAGGCTGGAGAGCCAGAGGACCATGCCTTTCTGTCTGGGATTCCTGGACAAACTTTACCAGACAAACTCTACAACGTGTGGGTCCGCCTGCAGAGCCACGTGAACATCGTGTTTGACAGCGACATGGACAAACTGATGACGGAGAAATACCCTGGAATCAGACAGGTAAAACGCCGCTCTCACGCCCAGGTAATACCAGAGCCAGGCTCTGTCCCATCAGAAGATCTACGTGCTCGTCTGTGTGTAGTCCAGCCCTGAGTCAGCATCCAGGACGTGTACGGATCACGCGTGTAGGCGTGTCAGGTGGGCTTGGGCGGTATCACGGTAGGACCGTACAGCTGGTGTTACGAACAGCAACAGGATCCGTTCAGTTCACGCGGGAGGCGAGGATTAGATTAGACGTGTGGTTGGATTTTCAGCTTTACTCAAACAGTGTAACATGTTTGGTCCAACTTTTGGAGACGGTCCTTAAAGTTCATGAACACGATGTCATCGCATGACCGCGTGGAGTAGACGCACTGAGAGGAACGGGGAGAAAAATGGCCGGTTGCACTACAGCTGACTTGGTGCCTTAGAAGAACACAAGTTCTGCAGTTTGGGAGTATTTCTGATTCACAGCAGACTTAAAAGGAGAGCCGATAAACGCTGATGAGGTCATTAGTGCGAACAAAAGATGACCGAGGAAGATGGACGCCTCGTGGGCACCGCACAGGAGTGAGCTGTCATTAAATGAGACAACACACTTTTCTGGGGAGGGGAAATACGCAGCCAACCTTCCCCAGGTGTTGCGACTCGCCCCGAAGTACCCGTGTGTCTGTGCCACAAGCTCGTCGAAGCCGGTTTAGATTTGGCAGAAACTGATGTGACTTTATTTTTCTCTGAGTGTTTTTCTCCTCAGAAGAAGCTACAATGATGTTCTGCTGAGCTGTGGTGGCCTCATGGAGGGGGCCATCGTCTAGCACACTGCTGCTAACCACTTAAACATTCTCCCTCTCCTGATAATAACTTTTTACTCTCTTTGACATTGGATGTGCTACTACTAGTTTACCCGTTTAATTATAGATCCACTAGGATAAATACAATAAAGTTTATCTGTCACCAAATAGAATATTTACTAATAAATCACAATGTAACCAAAGAAACATTACTTGGTGTGTGTGTGTGTGTGTGTGTGTGTGTGTGTGTGTGTGTGTGTGTGTGTGTGTGTGTGTGTGTGTGTGTGGTGGGAGGAGGGAGATATAGAAGGGGGAGGTGTGACATTGACTGTGGTTGTTTTTAATACAACACTTGGAGTTGCACTCGTTGCATGAAAAGCATAAATAAAACATTATTTGATCTGGTCAGTGACTTGATGCAACCTGCTGGGTTCCTCATATAGGAAACTCTTTGCTGATTGGCTTAATGACCTGACTTGTTTACTGTGTGAAGGTCCTCGAGATGACTCCGGTCCTGGTTCGGTACTATAGATAGAAACAAACTGAATAGAAATGAAACTGGATCCTGTGTGAAACATGTACCATCACCAGATGTTCCTGTTCCTCTGTTTTCTCTGTCAGATCCTGGAGAAGAAGGATGGATTGTTCCGGAAACACATGATGGGCAAACGAGTGGACTACGCCGCGCGGTCGGTCATTTGTCCTGACATGTACATAGGAACAAATGAGATAGGAATACCGATGGTAAATGAGCCGTGGTCCCCTCGGTCTGCAGGATGGGTGGATTTGGTGGACGTTAGGATTTAAACCCAAGTTCTCTGACTCTTTCAGGTTTTTGCCACCAAGCTGACCTACCCTCAGCCGGTCACACCGTGGAACCTGAAGGAGCTCCGTCAGGCTGTCTTAAACGGTCCCAACGTTCACCCAGGAGCCTCCATGGTGATAAACGAGGACGGCAGGAGGACCATCCTGTCCGCTACCAACTTCACTCAGAGGGAAGCTGTTGCTAAGCAACTGCTGACACCTTCTCCAGGTCCACATAAGATGCCCATGAAGATAGTAAGTGTGTGTAAATAAAAGGGTATTCCACTGTAGTGGAGTAAGGCGTGCCTCTTCCCTGATTCTGAATCATTTGTCTGCATCTCGATGCATCGATTATCAGGTTATTCTCCTCAGCTCCACTTATGCGATGACATGATCTTAACCCTGGTTTAACCCCTTGTGCTGCTGTGGTTCCTCAGGTGAACCGGCACATAAAAAATGGAGATGTCTTGTTACTCAACAGACAGCCCACGCTGCACAGACCCTCCATCCAGGCTCACTGCGCTCGTATCCTACCAGGAGAGAAGGTAGGGCTCACCCTCTTATCTGGATCTGGATCTTATCCTAACCCTAACACACCAACCCCCATCTGTCTGCCTGATGCCACAGGTGCTGAGGCTCCATTATGCCAACTGTAAGGCGTACAACGCCGACTTTGACGGAGACGAAATGAACGCTCACTTCCCTCAAAGTGAGCTGAGCAGAGCGGAGGCCTACACCTTAGTCAGCACCAACCAGCAGTACCTCGTGCCCAAGGTGTGTGTCTGTAGACCCTTCAGTGCTGCAGCTGTAGGACAACAGGAGGGAAAGTGCAAGAACAATAAGTCACAACGCAGCATCCTAAACTTCTGGTGACCCGAACACTTAATAGACACAAAGGTCACACGGACCAGCAGCTGTTCGGCATTTTGACCGATTTTGTTTACTCGTCACTTTCGTTTAGTAAATATTAATGTTCAGTACTATTGATTTTAGTTAATATTTAGTGTCCCAGTCTAGCATGTTGATGTCACACACACACACACACACACCCCTTCTGCTGCGCCTGAACAGCTCACCTGCTTGCCTCCAGCGGGCTGCTGTAGTCGTGCAGTTTGGTTTGCTAGCAGCCAGCCTAACCGTTGTGTTTCTGCTCAGGATGGTAAACCTTTAGCAGGTCTGATCCAGGACCACATGGTATCAGGGACCAGGATGACCATACGAGGCTGCTTCTTCACCAGAGACCAGTACACCCAGCTGGTGTACAGAGGACTGACGGACAAAGCCGGCAGAGTTAAGCTGCTGCCTCCGGCCGTCTTCAAGCCCCAGTGCCTGTGGACAGGGAAGCAGGTAGAAGCTTGAGGAGAAGCTGCTCAGCTGCCTTTGAAGATGTCAGATGTCCCTAACGCTGTGTGTTTCCTGTAGGTGGTGTCCACGTTACTGCTGAATGTCATCCCAGAGGAAGCTGTGCCTCTCAACCTGATGGGCTCGTCCAAAATCCCCGGCAAGGCCTGGATCCAGGTCCCGCCTCGAGCCGCTCCTGGGTACATACCCGACAGCATGTGCGACTCCAAGGTGGGAAAACGTTACAGCTCCATGAGCGGAGAAACATCAGGAGTTTTGCTTTCAAGGAAACGTACCTTCAGGCATCAGAGTCAGACTTGGTTTTCCAGGTGGTGATCCGACAGGGGGAGCTGCTGGTCGGGGTTCTGGATAAGGCTCACTATGGTTCCTCAGCCTACGGTTTGGTCCACTGCTGCTACGAGCTTTACGGAGGGCAGACCAGCGGGAAGCTGCTCAGCTGCTTGGCCCGGCTCTTCACGGCTTACCTGCAGCTGTACAGAGGCTTCACCCTGGGTAAGATCACCAGCAGGCCCATCCTCTGGCACGAGAACACCAGGCCTAAACCTGTCCTCTGTCTGGGTCCAGGTGTGGAGGACATCCTCGTCAAACAAGGTGCTGATGTGAAGAGGAAAAAAATCATACAACAGTCGCTGAAGATCGGGACGAAAGTGAGTCCTCGTTACGCTGACATACAAGAGCTTTTAGGAAATTTGACAGATTCAGTGCTTCTTCCTCCCAGGATGCATCTGCAGACCTGCCCACCTGTACCTAGCAAGTACGCAATTTGGCGTCTAAATATGCTGATACGACAAGCTCCTCTAAACTACCAAAAAGCTGCAGACCCCTGAGTTCTGTAGCAGATGTGCACGTCTGGTGCTCATGTCTGACGTCACGATTGAGCAGCATGGTGAAGGAGTTTAAGCCAATCGTAGAAAAGCAATTCTGCCTGACCTATAGCGTAACAGCCCCGCCCCCTCCTCCCTGCTGCGTCCTCCGGTTCACACTCGATGCTGTTCTGGTGATAATGGGGTAAAGTTCGTGTGTGTGCGTGTGTGTGTGTGCGTGCGTGTGTTAGCGGACCAGCCGAGGCGTCGCACCCATGAGGGATGTGGATGATTTAGCACCCACACTTTTTCTAATGAGGAGGTTAAACACCGACGCGTTACCACCAGTCCGGTCCTCCATGTTTCTCGCTGTGTTTGCCCCTCCCCCTCCCTCGCCTCCTGTCAATGGTACTTTGCACTTTGGTAGCCAGTGTCTCCATCTCGCTGTCAATTAAGTTTCTCCTATATTTCCTATTGTCCCCTCTTGAGCTGAAGATGCAGCGTGATCAAATATGGTTAATTGAGGGCGTGTCTGTATGTAAATGACTGAGAACGGGCACGAGCACCTGGGTACTACGCACAGGTGAAGAAAGAAGAAGAAGAAATATAATTTCTTTATCGCCTCTCAAGATAAAAATCACGAGGCGCTTCACAAAAACAAAAAATGTAAAAATATAAAAAAGAATTTAATTTAATTCAATTCAATTCAAGTTTATTTCTAAAGCGCCAAATCACAAGAGTCGTCTCTAGGACCTTCACACAGTAAACATTCCAATACAGGTCAGTTCATTAAGCCAATCATAAAAATGTTTCCTATATAAGGAACCCAGCAGGTTGCATCAAGTCACTGACTAGTGTCAGAGTCTTTACAGCAATCCTCATACTAAGCAAGCATATAGCGACAGTAGAGAGGAAAACTCCCTTTTAACAGGAAGAAACCTCCAGAGGATCCTGGCTCAGTATAAGCAGCCATCCTCCATGTCTCATTAGAAAATGATAAAAAATATATATATATTAAAATGAGCAAAAATAGTCAATTGTGATTAAAAAAATGTTAAGAGTGAGAGAGTGAATAGGAAAGAGGGAAATTAGTGGATCCTGAGGAAAGTGGAATAGGTGGGGAGAGCAGAATAAAGAGAGAGTGGTGAAGAAGGTCATACAAAAGCCACTTTGAACAAGTGAGTCTTCAGCTGCTTTTTAAAGGAGTCCACTGATCTCAGGCTCAGGGGGAGAGAGTTCCAGAGTCTGGGGGCCACAGCAGCAAATGATCTGTCACCTTTGGTCTTTAGCCTGGTGCTGCACACCCAGGAGGCTTTGGTCACTGGACCTCAGGGACCTGCTGGGGGTGTAGGGACTGAGAAGATCACCAATGTAAGATGGTGCTTGTCCATATAAGGCCCTAAAGACCAGAACCAGGATCTTGAAATGAACCCTGAAGTTGACTGGCAGCCAGTGAAGCTGGAGGAGAAGCGGGGTGATGTGGGTGTGTTTGGAGGACTTGGTCAGAAGCCGAGCACAGGCATTCTGAACTAGAGCCCTGCACTGAAGCCCTAGGCCCTCGGGTCGGCCCGGCCTCGGGCCAACGGCTGTGCAATTACCTCGGACACGGGCCGGGCCGGGCGCCTTTATTTTTAATTGAATTCATTAAAAAAAATTGAAACACAAACGCAGCAGTAGAGCTCTGCGCGGGACTGTTTTCTTCATCCCGCTCCTGCCCGTTCCCGCTGAATTTCTGACCATTACCGCCTGCAACTGCAACGTGTGTGTTACACTCCCACCCGCACCCGTAGTGTGCCTGTCTACTCCCGCCCGCACCCGCAAAACTCGGAGAAATTATTACCTCACAATAAAAGAGATGTATTGAGTTTGCGTCCTCTCTGGTCCTGGAGAAAACATGTCACAACCCGCAGCTCTTCCATCCATCTGATGCGGCTCTCTGTGCTTGTAAAATAATGAATGGATATTTAAATAAAATGCTTTATATTTTACTGCATTAATTTTATATCTGTAAGTCAATTATACGTAAAGATTGTCTGCGTAAACCTGAACAGGTCCAACCCGGTCTTACTGTGAGGGTTGACGCATCACGCTTGTGCGTAATATAAGCTGTCTGAGCTGAAGAGATTCTGGGATTCTCCTCCTGGATGTGTCGCCACATTGGAGACAGGAACAAGCGCTATTCAGCCAAAGTTTTATAATCAGGGAACATTTTCTAAGTGACAAGTCTCTCTGAGCGACAGGGTTTGGAAAACACTCGCTTCAGTGGGAGGAACCTTCCCGCATGCGCTCTGGTTCTGCGATGTGCTCCAAACCAATCTCCACAACTTCAGCTCGCTGTGCACATATGCACTGACAGTGAGCTGCACTGAGCAGCTCAGATGTTCAGATGGGAATCTTTTCTTGGGTGATTTAGCTACATCTGCGATGTGTGTAACGAATAAAATGTCAGTTCTTCTGCATGCGTCAGGGTAATTCTTTCTATTCTGGAACTATCCGGTCAACTCAAGCCCTGCTTTTGACTGTTCTGTTTTCTTGTGAAAATTGTTGGAAAGAGATAAAATTTAACTTGATTAACACCAGAGCCAGTGCGCCGTCATCTCCGTGACGGTAAACGAGGGAAAAACAAATTGATCGGATCCTGCACGTCTTTTAACACATTGGTCAGGATTGACGCACTTTGTTTTCATTTAGCTGGTTAAAAAAAAATCGGGCTCGGGCCGGGCCAGAGAATCCTAAAACCCTTTTCGGGCCGGGTCGGGCTGGGGCTCCACCCCCTCGGGCCGGGCCGGACACGGGCTCAGATTTTAGGCCCGTCCAGGGCTCTATTCCGAACCACCTGTAGACGGTTCAGGGAGGTTCTGCTCAGACACGTGAAAAGAGAGTTACAGTAGTCTAAGCGTGAGGAGATGAAGGTGTGGAGAACTGTCTCAAGTTCAGAGTGGAACAGAATGGGACTCAGCTTAGCAATGTTCCTGAGATGGAAGAAGGAAGAGCGAACAAGAGAACTGACATGAGAATCCAGGGTGAGAGCTGGGTCAAAGGTCACACCAAGATTCCTGACAGAAGGTTTGGTGTGGGAAGAAGCTGACCAAGAGAGTATCTGACTTTGGGAACCAGCTTGTCTGGGGCACATATGAGGATCTCAGTCTTATCTTCATTCAGCTGAAGAAAGCTCCCAGCCATCCAGGTTTTGATAGAGTCTAAGCAGGTGTGTAACAGCTGCAGCTTAGACATCTCATGGGGCTTAAAGGACATGTACAGTTAGTTGTCATCTGCATAAAGATGGTAGGAGATTATTTTGAAGGAGCTCAGGATGTGCTGAAGAGGAAGCAGATAGAGGAGGAAGAGCAGAGACCCCAGCACAGAACCTTGTGGGACACCACGGGTCAGAGAGGCGGTGGAGGACCTAAACTTGGAGACGGCCACAGAAAAGGAGCGCTCAGAGAGATGAGAGGAGAACCACTCCAGAGCAGTTCCTGATAGGCCTACCCAGTCTCTCAGCCTCTCCAGTAGCAGGTGATGGTCAACAGTGTCAAAGGCTGCAGTCAGGTCCAGCAGGACCAGAACAGAACAGTCCCCTGCAGCACTGTGGGTCAGAAGGTCATTAGAGACCCTGAGAAGAGCTGTTTCAGTAGAATGAGCTCTACGAAAACCTGACTGGAAGCTATCATAGATGTTATGTTCATCAAGAGCAGCTGTGAGTTGTTTAGCCACAACCTTTTCCAAGATCTTGGAGATGGACGGAAGTTTAGCGATGGGTCTGAAGCTGCTATGGAGAGAGGGGTCGAGACTCGTTTTTTTAAGAAGCGGGTGGATTACAGCGTTCTTAAAGGTGGGGTTTATTATCAGACGAGTGCGAAGGAACGTGTGTACGAGAGGCCACCGCATTATCATAGGATTTTGACCGTTCGTACGAACGTTCTAGATTTCCTTCGTAGGGAGGAATTTAGCAATATTTATACAAATGTTTGATGAACGAGTGTTCATTTTAGTTTTTTAATTCTATTTTTAATCTTATTATTCATGTTATATGTAGCACGTTAGTACCGAAGCAAGTTCCTAGTTTGTGAATTGTTTGTTCACTGACAATGGCAATAAACCTATTCTGATTCTGATTCAAACCCGTTATAGGTGGTGCTAGGGTGATTCAAGCTAACGCAGACGTCAGTGGCATCAGCTCATGTTAAATAACGAGATGATTCCTCTGACTAGCCTCGTACCACCACCGCTCCTAATCCTTACTACCCTACTTCTGAGTGAAAGCTTTGCTGCTTTCCAGCGGCGCCTCGTTGATTCCATGCAAAATGGCCGCATTAGACATCTGTCCAGGGTGTCCCTGCCTGTCGGGGTCACCAGCTCCTGAGTGACGGAGCACACTCACCACTACAGCTCTGCTCTTACTGTTGCTCAGGCGCTCCAGGCAGCATTCAACCTGCAACCTAACGTGGATCCAGCTGATGCCCGGAGTCGGTGGCAAGATGCTCACCTCAACCCTGACCAGAGAGACTTCAGCATGGCTGACCACAAGTTTAAGGAGGTGGCCAACCAAGTGAACAATGACATCAACAAGGTACGCTGTTACTGCGGCCGTGTCAAAGGTCACAGTTAGCTTTGTAGCTACAACGCAGACCTGAGTAGAACTGGAACCATGCTTAATTAGGTTTTCTGGCTCGGACGGGTAAGGTTGTGTTCTGAGTTTACCTTCACATGTTTCGACCGTGGTCTTCATCAGAAGTGTCACAGTGTGACGCGTCTTTATCAGCTGTTCTTCTGGTGGGCGTAATCTGGGTTGGTCACGCCCACTCCGCTGGCTGGTCTTTGGAGAAGGAAGTCCACGCATCGACCGAGCGGGACCGTGTCAGTAGGGACTTCAGATTAGACCCGACTAGAAGAGAAACTGAACAGGTGTATCTACAACCGACCCGAGAGCTGGAGTGTGGCAGACAGACGAACGCTGAAACCATTAGATAAACGACAGGACCTTCTGCTAGAATGGACAGTGGTCTCTTGGCCATGATGGTCCTGTAGAATGGCGACGGTTGTGTCATGTGACTGTCCCTCAGGTGTGCAAGACGGATGTTGGTGGTGAAGTCCAGACTAATCATGTCCAATGTGATCTTTACCTGAAGGTGTGCATGCCAGTTGGACTTCACACCACCTTCCCGGACAACAACCTCCAGCTCATGGTCCAATCAGGAGCCAAGGGTTCTACGGTGAACACCATGCAGGTATGTACACGCACGCACGCACGCACGCACGCACGCACACACACACACACACACACACACACACACACACACACACACACACACACACACACACACACACACACACACCTCTGGTTGCTGCGGTCCTTTTAACTTGCTTAACTCACATTTGTGGTGTTTTGTGTCAGATCTCATGTCTGCTTGGTCAGATTGAGCTGGAGGGCCGCAGGCCTCCACTGATGCCTTCTGGGAAATTCCTGCCGTGCTTCCAGCCTTATGACCCTTCACCTGGTGCCGGGGGCTTTGTTTCTGGGCGGTTTCTCACAGGAATCAAGCCACAGGTATGTGTGGTAAAGCACGCAGGACATGAGGAATGTGTGGGCTTAACTCTGGAGAACAAGTTCTCTTGAATTCTTACTAAAATGTGAAACGAGGTCCTCAGGATCTTCTAAACAGCATGAAATGTGCTGATTCATCCTAAAGCAGAATGCAGGTAGACACACTGCGCTCCCGGGACCACACAGTTGGTTCGGAGGCTCCGCCTCCTTCCGTCCTAGAGAACATGAATCCAGCTCTTTGGTTCAGGAATCATGAAGTTACAGCCAGGAATGTTTGTCTTGTCAGGAGTTTTTCTTCCACTGCATGGCTGGCAGAGAGGGACTGGTGGACACGGCCGTGAAGACATCCCGATCGGGATACCTGCAGAGGTGATGCTGATGCTAGGACTAGCTGCTGGTAATGACAGTTTCCTGTACCATAGAGCTGTGCTGACCCCCCCCCCCCCCCCCCCCCCCACCACCACCACCACAGGTGTATCATCAAGCACCTGGAGGGTTTGGTGGTGCAGTACGATCTGACTGTGAGGGACAGCGACGGTTCTGTGGTCCAGTTCCTGTATGGTGAAGATGGGCTGGACATCCCTAAGACTCAGTTCCTGCAGCCCAGACAGTTCCCCTTCATCGAGGACAACTATGAGGTACCAAAGGGACCCAAACGGGCCACAGCGCTGCTCCTGGTACTTTAGTTACATCCCACCCAGCTGAGGTGGTTTGGACCTCCTGGACGCCTCCAGGGGAGGTGTTTCAGGTGTGAAACACCCAGGTCAACCGTGGACACACAGGCTTGCCTGCTGGGGGGGTTGGGGTTGGGCCTGTCTACTGGACCTGTACCGCAGACCCAGATCCAGTGATATTGGTCCCAGAGGGGAACCCGTTGAATGCTTTATTAATAAACATGTTTCTGGTGCAGCTGATCAGTTCAGACTCACTCTGACCAGGTCATCAAGACGTCCCAGGACCTGGACAGTGTTCTGGCCCATTTGGACCCTCAGACTGCCAGTCGACACTTTGCAGCCATCCAGCGCTGGAAATCAAAGAGAGACACCCCCTGTCCTCGCACAGGTAGAGGACGGTCAGTCTATCTACCTAGGGTAGCTTTGTCTTTAGTGATGTAACTGTGTGTGTGTGTGTGTGTGTGTGTGTGTGTTTGCGTGCTCATCAGGGGCGTTCCTGCTGTTTTCCCAGAAGAAACTGTCTAAACTCCGAGAGGGCACAGAGACAGCCTCTGCTGTCCAGCAGGTATGACATCACAGCACACCTACCGGTGACCGACTTCCTTCTAACTGTGGTTTGATTCCTTGGTCCTCAGCTGGTGAAGAAGTGGCAATCTCTGGAAGATGGTGGCAGAGCTAAATACATCAAAAGGTCGTGCCGCTGCCCAGACCCCTCGCTGGGATTGTTTCGTCCGGACGTCTGCTTCGGGTCCATTTCTGAAAACTTTCACGACATCACAGAGAAATACCTGGAAAGCAGGAGCGGCGGCAGGAACGCTCACAGGTACAGAACACCCGAGTGTGTGACGGGCAGCAGAAGCATTGTGGAACTGAACACACACCAGAGTCTAATCAGCCAATCACACGACAGCACAGATCAGCCCTCGTCTAGATGAGCTGCTGAAGTTCACGCTGAGCGTCAGGATGGAGGAAGAAGAGGCTGAATGGTTGCTGGTACAGACGAGCTGGGTTGAGTGTTTCAGAACCTGGCCGTCTGCTGGGTCTCCACGGTTTGGACTGGTTAGACTGGTTTAGGTTAACTACCACTGAGAAACGGTCCGCTCTGAAAAAAGCTGCTTCAACTCGTCCAACAAAAAGAAAAACACACAGTTCATGCACACAGTCTATTAAAACTTTCAGATTAGTCACCTGGGCTGTGGCGTAGCATTCAGCTGGGGGTGGAGGGGTGTTTTTAGTGGGCTAGGCCCTGACCCGATGACCTGACGCAGGAGTCTGGACATCTGGGAGCCTCTCCTCTGGGCCTGGGGCTGCGACCTTTTGGTTTCGGTGACTGAACCAAACCAAAGCAGGCAGGGGTGTTGGCTGAAGAGCAGCAGGAATGGACCGGTGGAGCTTACAGAGAACACAAAGGCCATTGTTGTTGCCCTTAGTCATCATCACACATCTGACCCTTCTCCGTGGGGAGCAGTGAGCCATTTGGTGGTTTTAGGTCTGATTTAAATGTCTCCCATCAGCCCCAGGAGGAGACAGGCATGGACTGAGACGTTTAATGCCTAAATTATCCTTCTCCATCTACGCCGGGACGGACGGATGCAACGCCATTATCCGTCCTTGCGAGCCTGCAGGAGAGCCCTCCCAAGGACGGACGGAATCGAGCTCTCTTTTCTAAACATCCGTCCAGCGAGACAGAGAACGCAAGCTTGTGATTGGTCAGGGCACCGCTGTCGTCGACACCGCTGCCATTGCACCCTCAATAACATAAAGAGAGCCGAGGATATCTAGCGCATCATTTTCTGTGTTGCGTTCTAGCAAATTTTGGGCATGCCTCCGTCACCCTCCGTGAGCTGGTCAGAGAGCCCTTACGCCGACGCATAATGGCGTTGCGTGTCTCCGCAGACGGAGAAGCACAAATCAGGCTTTAGGCTCCTTAAACCCAATAAATAGATGTTCAGAACTTCCTGGTTTAGGTTGGGTTGGAACCCGTTTATAACTGCTTACAGTTCCAGTTATGGGGTTGTGTTTGGTGAGTTTTCAGGGCTCCTGGGCTACTGTGAGCCTCAACAGTTTCATGATATACATTATGAAGGGTTTCCAGTTGTAAACCAGTTGTGCTATGACCCGTTTAAGACAATAGTGAATGTTAGAAGTGCCTGAAACTGTTCACTGGTTAGTTTTTAATGTAAGAGGAGACTGAATGTGACGTGTGTTCTCTCTACCTGTGTTCAGCATTCGTCAGCTGTTGCATTATAAGTGGCAGCGATCTCTGTGTGAACCTGGTGAGGCTGTGGGCCTGCTCGCAGCTCAGTCCATAGGAGAGCCCTCTACCCAGATGACCCTCAACACCTTCCACTTTGCTGGCAGAGGAGAGATGAACGTCACTCTGGGAATCCCTCGGTAATGTATTCACCTTTAACGTGCACGAGAAACCATTATCTGGGCCATAGGTGGTGTTAATGTAGCTGCTGCAAGTTTCAGTCACCGTCTACCTTAAAGTTGGACCTAGAGCCTTTTTTCCAGGAGCTCTACTCAGCCTAAGACTGCTCTGTGCAGCGTGGTTTGTAGGTTTGTTCTCATGCAGCTCCATGACTGAAAGTGGGTGCGCCCCTCATAGGTGCGGGGGTGTGATCTTTACTCATGAACAGTGTACCTGTGTGCTCCACAGAAACACAACTCAGCTGAAAAACGTTGGTGCTGCTGGACATTCTGCTCAGTTTTATGGCTTTTTGTCAGATGCTGAACCAGGAAATGAATGCAGGCATTGAAACTGAAAATATAAAACTCTGTAGCAACCAGTTACCCCCTTATCCAATCAGTGGCCAGAATCACAATGCCAGCCCGACTCAGCCTTGCCAGGTACCTCAACGGAGCAAGGACTAAAAATAAGGGAAAACGTACCGAGCTTGGGAACTGTGGTCGGTCCGAGTTGCTCTGAGTATTGTTCCTGGAAAACCACCTAAAGTGGCCCTGAGGGAGGAGATCCAGACACCTGCAGGCGGTGTTGGCCAGAGCAAAGACGAACTGGGGGACATGGGACCGTCTCAGGCACAAGAAATTATAATTTAGACTTACTCTTGAATAAGTATTTTAATTTCATTCACAATTTGGTCATCCATTGTGTTTGTCATTTTATTGAAATAGCTTTCTATTTTAATTTACTAAATAAAAAAGACCTAAAACCCTAACCCATACATTCATCACAAAAATAAAATAATAAAATATTTCAGAATCAACTTTATTGCCATTGCCCTGTTTGCCAACTGAATAAATAAAAGCCAAGCAACAATTATAAACCTCTATTAATGGCTACCTACAACATCACCATCATCATCATCACTTTAATCCTCATCAACACTTTTATCACCATCATCATCATTTTTATCGTCGCCACCACCACCGCCACTGCTAAAGGTGTGGGCGCTCATTCCGACGCCCACACAGTAAAAAAATGCAAGTGTCGGCTTTAGTCGTCATTGGCAGTGAATAAGTTGAGGAGATCTTCGTAGTATTCTGGTCACCGTTCCACAAGTGGTCAGCAGCTCCTAAAAGCCATACAGAAGTCTCACTCCGTGGTCTCATCGAGCTCCTCCCACACCTTTGGCAACGTTTTTGCCTCCGTAACCACCCGAGCTGCATTCCGCTTGGACTACCGGTACACATCAGCTGCCTCTGGAGTCCCACAGGTGGAAAGGACTCGATAGGACTCTTTCTTCAGCTTGACAGCATCCCTCACCGCCGATGTCCACCAGTGGGTTCGGGGGTTGCTGCCACGACAGACACCGACGACCTTGCGGCCACAGCTCTGGTCGGCCGCATCAACAGCAATCGTACCTATAGGGTTTCTACATTTAGTTTAGCCTTTTGGGGGCATCCACAGTACTTGCTGTCTCATTCTGTACATAAATGTGTCTTTCCCACAGCCTGAGGGAGATCCTGATGGTGGCTGGTTCCAACATCAAAACCCCCATGATGAGCATCCCGGTTCTAAACAACAGGAAAGCCTTGAAGAGAGCTAAAGTCCTGAGGAAGAAACTCACCAGGGTGTGCTTGGCTGAGGTCAGAGTAGAGTCCTTCTGTGCTGCCATCCTTCTGTCTCACTGCTGCACCCGCCCCGCTTACATATGTTTGTGTGTGTGCAGGTGCTGCAGAAAGTAGATGTGGTTGAGACACTTCGTGTTGAAAACCATCAAAAGCTGCGGATTTTCAAAGTGATGTTTCACTTCCTGCCTCCCGAGCGTTACATCGATGATAAATTACTATCTCCTCATCAGATCCTCCACTTCATGGAAACCAGGTTTGTGTGTGCGTGTGTGGTGCATTTGCACATGTGTGTGTGTGTACGTGTGTGCATGTGTGTGTGTGCGTGCATGTGGGAGTGTGTGTTTGTGTGTGTGTATGTGTGTGCATCTGTGTGTGGGTACATGTGTGTGTGCATGTGTGGTGCATTTGCACGTGTGTGTGTGTTTGTGTGTGTGTGTGTGTGTGTTTGTGTACGTGTGTGCATGTGTTCATGTGCATGTGTGTGTGTGTGTGTACGTGTGTGAGTGTGTGTACATGTGGTACATGTACACGTGTGTGTTTGTGTACGTGTGTGCATCTGCATGTGTGTGTGTGCATGTGGACGTGTGTGTTTGTGTGTGTACGTGTATGCGTCTGTGTGGGTACATGTGTGTGTGTGTGTGTGCGTGTATGCGTCTGTGTGGGTACATGTGTGTGGTGCATTTGCACGTGTGTGTGTGTGTGTGTGTACGTGTGTGCATGTGTGTGTGTATGTGTGTGTGCGTGCATGTGGGCGTGTGTGTTTGTGTGTGTGTATGTGTGTGCATCTGTGTGTGGGTACATGTGTGTGCATGTGTGGTGCATTTGCACGTGTTTGTGTGTGTTTGTGTACGTGTGTGTGTGTGTGTGTGTGTGTGTGTGCGTGTGTGTGGGAGTGTGTGTTTGTGTGTGTGTATGTGTGTGCATCTGTGTGTGGGTACATGTGTGTGCATGCGTGGTGCATTTGCACGTGTGTGTGTGTGTGTGTGTGTGTGTGTGTTTGTGTACGTGTGTGCATGTGTTCATGTGCATGTGTGTGTGTGTGGGTACGTGTGTGAGTGTGTGTACATGTGGTACATGTACACGTGTGTGTTTGTGTACGTGTGTGCATCTGTATGTGTGTGTGTGTGTGTTCTTGTACACACTACATACTGAGGACCATTTTGACCATTTTCCCTACAAAGTGAGGACATTTTTTTGGTCCTCACTTTTTTTTAGAAGCTTACTATTCCAGTTAGAGGTAAGGTGTGAATTAAGTTTTAGTTAAGCTTAGGAATAGATCAGCGTTGGTTAGGGTTTGGTGAAATCACAAAAATGAATGGAAGTTAATGGAGGGTCCTCACTATGATAGAAAGATAGACGTGTGTGTGTGTGTGTGTGTGTGTGTGTGTGTGTGTGTGTGTGTGTGTGTGTGTGTGTGTGTGTGTGTGTGTGTGTGTGTGTGTGTGTGTGTGTGTGTGTGTGTGTGTGTGTGTGTGTGTGTGTGTGTGAGAGAGAGCCTCTCCAGTGGGACTACAAAGAACCATCCTGATGCGTGCCTAACCATTCCCAGGTTTTTCCGTCTTCTCCTTGAGGCTGTTAAGAAGCGCTCAGCCAAACTGGCCTCCATCGCCGTGGAGACGAGGAAGGCTACCCTCAGAGATAAAGACATTGATGGAGATGCCACAGCTGGGGTATGGTTTGACCAGACGTTGTGGCTCATTCCCACTTCTGCTTGGTTTTCAGTGTTCTGCTCAGCTTTTACGATATTCAAAGGATCTTTTCCTCCTTGAAAACAGTAAAAAGCAGATATGTTTGTCCCGTTGACACTGCAGGTTGATGATGAAAGAGAAGAGGAGGAAACGGAGATAGTTGATGACCAGGGAGATGAAGGAGATGCTGATGCGTCAGATGCCAAGAGAAGAAGCAGACAGGAGGAGGAGGTAGGACTGACCACGCTGTCAGGTTCATGAACAGCTCCTGTGAATGGATGCAAACACAATCATGCATCACAAGCTCACAGTGCTGCTAACCTCAGACAGGAGACTTTTTACATAAACCCATTTAGGAGGTGAACAAACACCTGGATTCATGACTACCTGACAGACAGACGCCAGTTTGAGACTGGAGGATTGTGTGTCTGACCAGGTGGTCAGCAGCACAGGGGACGGTACTCTCACCATTCCTTTTCACGCTGTACACTTCAGACTTCCTGTACAAGTCAGAGACCTGTCGTCTGCAGAAACATTCACAGCACTCTGCGCTCGTCGGGTTTATCAGAGCTGCTGGAGCGCCGTGTGGCACGGGACGTTCATCTAATCTTAAATGTGGACAAAACAGAGGAAATGAATGTAGATGTCAGAAGAAGCAGGAGCAAGTTTAGCTCTATTTGCATCATGTGAGAGGAAGGGTTGGTGAAGGAAGAATGTAAATACGTCGGTGTCCACCTGGACAACAGACTGAACTGGAGACACAACAGTGAAGTGGTCTACAAGAAGAGAGGGTAGACTACTGCAGGAGGAAGCTCCAGTCCTTTAAGCTTTGCAGCAAGATGCTGGATATCTTCTATAATATATTTTAATCTGTTGTGGAGAGTGTGAGATCTTGGTCAATCAGCTGTTGAGGAAGCAGCATATGAGCCAGGGACCAAAAAGGCCTGGTTCTGGTTCTCTTCATGACATCGTCAGACCTGCTGGAATCCAAAAGGCTACAGGAGGTCCTTCCTGCCCCCAGCCAAAAGCATCTTTATCTACTCAGAGACTTGTCGTCTGCAGAAACATTCACACCACTCTGCGCTCGTCGGGTTTATCAGAGCTGCTGGAGCGCCGTGGCTGACATTGTTACTGTTGCTTTAAAGTAGAGCTGGGCGGCAAACCCTTACCCTTCTTCTGGCACCAAACGCTTGTTCCCCAAGGCTCTTGTCCTGTCTGCCTGCAGAGCGCTTCTTCAGTCCTCCTGAAATCTATTTTTTATTCAGTGGACTCGAAGACTGTTGGACTGAAGTGGAGGTATGGATGGCAGAGAACTTTCTGTCCACATGAGAGCAAAACAGAGGCAGTGTTGTTTGGACCAAGTGGTCATCTGACCTAGAGGTAGACCGATATTGGTTTTTCTGTTGCCGATATCGATATGAGGCGGCCGTGGTCAATCAATCAATCAAAGATACTTTATTAATCCCAGAAGGAAATTAGAGTTTCAGTACACACAATTCAGAGATCAGACATTCATGGGCAAGACACATGACAAGAATTGGTGACTGTGGTCATTCGCAACCCTGAGTCGTGCTACCTTAATTGAGATAAGAGGGTTACATGAGGATTGGTTCAGGTGGAGGGAAAAAAAGGCACTTCAGAGTTACCCTCCACGGGGAGGGCAGCTTTGCTCTGCAAAAAAACACCTCAAACATATATGCAACAGACTTCAGACATTACACAACATAAGTGTCCACTAGGTGGGGTGGTGGGTTGGGACTGTCCGCACTTCAGTTCCTGCAGCCATGATAGAAGCAGCGCATGTCACCTCAGTGTGGATGGGGGGGGAGCATTGATGGTTGGAGGGTTGCAGTGACCCTGGAATGTTTCGGTGGCCTTCGCGCAGTCCCGCCCAGGCTGGGAAAGGAGACAGAGTTGAGTTGCCATAGCGACGGCACATTCCACATATCTTCTGAGGGGGGAGTTTTCGTTGGAGCCTTGCAGGCTCAAGGGCGCCACATTCCAATTAGAAATTGTTTTGGGGCCAGACAGAGATAATTTCTTCTCTGTCTTGCAGTTTGTTCATCCTCAACCTCTCAAAATCCCAATAATGGACGTTAATCTATCCCAATCCGTGCTGATCTGTCCACTCTCTCCTTGATGGCATCCATTTTCTGTGCCAATTAATGAATCTCGGCCAAAGTTCCAAGCTTACGATTCATCTCGACAATTATACGAGTCTGTGAATTCACAGCGCGGTGCAAGCCATCTCTGAGCTCCGGGATCAGGCCAATATTCCTCGACAGCTCGTTAATTTTTCGGTAAGCCAGGTAGCCTCCAAGGCCATTGAGCAGGAAACCTGACACCAACACCACGAATATCCACACATCTTCAGAGTCATCCACAAACAGCTGAGTTAAACACATCAAGTTCCACTGTTTCCAGGAGTCCATGATGTGTCCAACTGGGTTTGTCCCGGTGGGGTATCCGGGAGCCCCTTCTCCCGTTCTCATAGTTAAAAAAATTTTATCAATCGCGTTGAGTGACCAACTGACGAGATCCATTTAAGTGAATTTCAGTTTCCAGTTTCCAGAAAAATACAGAAGCAGCCGTGCACCCAGCACACACAGAAAGGCAAAGGCCTTGAGGATAAGATATGGAGGAGAGGAGGAAAAAGGGCTTGGGGAGAAATTATGACACGTCTCTAAATAAAGTAAAATTTTCCAGTGCAGATTGGAGACAACCCATAGAAGCACTGATTTGATCTCATTTCAGAGAAAAATAAAACAGGTTAGATGCACCTAATAAATAAAATTATAACAAACTCAGGAATCTGTTCCTTTGCTTCATTGTTCTGGTGCTGAGAATATCACTAATGTAGATCAAAGGAGATACACAGATGAATGCACCTCTTATTTATTATTTGGAGACTACATTTACTGCAGCTGGCAGAGGCAGAGATTTTTTTCTATTGATACACAGAGTTTACAGAATCATTTTAAATTTTAATAGGGGAAGACTGCAGGAGGGAGCGGTAAAATACAGGGGGTCCCCAGCAAAAACAAGAAACTTTACGAGTCTGATGAAACCCGCTGGTTTTCCATCAGGCAGTCACGGGGCAGCTCCAACGACCCAGTGGCTGTGCTGGGTCAATGTTGTCGAGCTCAGTCCGGTGGCCGTGAACAAGCCGAGGCGGCGTCGTGCTCTGCTTAAGAAGAGGTGTTATTTTCCCGCTTCAGATGAAGCGTCCAACGTGTTTTTACGCTTTCTCCGAGGCATGTCACGTCACTAAGTTGTTAGCGCCGCGCGCTAACACGTCAATAGTGCAGCGTAGCCTGCTGGAGGTTTTAAGGGTTCAGATGAAAGCACCCGACCTCTCAGGCTGCTCACACATCGATATTAAGTTGTCGCTGTTGCGCTCACGCCGTAATACAGTATTAGATGCGGTTAAAGTCAGACATGAAAAAAAAAATAAATTTTACATGAATAAGTGATGCTTAGCCTGGTGGGGGGAGGAGAACCTGGCCTAATAAGCACTGGAGGAAACCCTGTCAAGATCGTCAACACTCGTTTATCTTAATGCTATTGAAACATGTAAACCAAAAAGCATTATATCCACTGCTACCTTTCTAATTTTAAACTCAGTAACTTACGCTGTAACTTCACCTTGCCCTGCCTACTCCTCCTTGCTGCCCGCCGGCTGTGATCACAAGCGACAACATAGTAATTCCTGCTGCTTCTTCGGGAAACGGCTCAAAAAAAAAAACTTGGGATCTTGTAGGTGTGGCGGTGGGATTTCAGCCGTGGCGGCCCGCCACGGCTACGCCTATGTAAGGGAAACCCTGATTAAATAACAGGTTACAAAACAGGTTTCAGAGCATTTATTAAGCAGATGTTTTATAGCGATGTACACAGGAAACTAATGTCATCTATAAAACTGGAGCTAACATGTTAAACTAACAGCAGATGAGAGTTTAAGACGGTCTCTAAAGCTAACAACAAGCTAGCCTAGCATTAGCAGCATGTTGCCGGTTAGCGGTGGTTCTTACAGCTCATTATTTCTTTCACTCAGCTAAGTTTTATTTAATGCATTACTATAATTCACTCTAAATACACAGCTGTAGGGCTAGAAACACCAGAAAGAAGCCTTACCTTTTACTCAGAGGTACAGAGGTAAATACTCGTTAGGAGGATCGGGTGTCCTTCTCCGGCTTCCAGCAGCAGCAGGCTGTCCGCTGTGGGAATTAGTAGCACCTGCTTTCAAGGCTTGATCAACCTTCAATGCTGCAGAACAGCTGTGTTCCCTGAAAAAGGCCTTTTTGTATAATTCTGAAATGTACATTATTTTTCAGTTTGAGTAACCTTACCTTTGTTTAACCTCTGGCAGTTCACCACTTAACTTTGTACCATTTCTAGCTATTTATTGGACATGAATGACTTAAACTGCAACAAGTAACTGGAAAAATACGAGGCATTCTAAAACTTTTAACCGGTAGTATATATATGTATATGTGTGTGTGTGTGTGTGTGTGTGTGTGTGTATAAAATTCCCATCTCACCCTCCACGGGTGGTCTCATCCTTTCAAGATCAGGTCCTCTACCAGTGTTTCCCAAGCCTGGTTCTCAGGGACGACTGACCTGCATGTTGTCCATGTCTCTGCTTCAGCACACCTGATTTACATGACATCAAGTGCTGCAGATGCCTGTTAATCACTCATTTATTTAAGTCAGGTGTGAGGCAGCAGGGAAACAAAAATAAACAACCAACGATGAACAAGAGTCTGCTTCTAGACCTGCAGAAAAGGGACACACAACAAGCCAACAGGAGCAAGCTATCACTGTGTCAACCTGATGAGGAACTATAAAATCAACATTGTTTTACTGAACAATCACACGATAATAAATCACAGTGCATTTAGTGCCAACCACAGCCTTAAGACATGTGTTGAAAAGGCCCAAGTCCATACTTATGAGAGCACCATGTGAGCACCTGTGTGTGTACACGTGCTTGTTTATGTAAGGTTTCTCTATTGGAGCGTCCAATAGAGAGTGTGAGGGGCCACAGTTCAGTCCCCCAAAGATGCGTAGGAGATGGAAGGAGCTCCAAGTCCCAGAGATCCAGGAGCTGCCCCAGAGCACATGGACCCCAGGGAGACTGTAACCAGAAAAGCCCCTGCCCCCCTCGAGAGGTGTAGAGGATTGCTCCAGGGGGAGTCACCACCAGCAGCCAGCAGAGTCCCGGGAGATATCAGCGGCGTGCCCACAGGCCTGCCCGCAGCCTCCCACCCCCAAGCCGGCCGAGCCCGGATCCCAGCGACCCGGGACCCCCACACTCTCTATTGGACGCTCCAATAGAGAAATCTTACATATACAAGCGCATGTATGCAGCTCTCTGGTTCTCTACCACCTCAGGGGATGTTACCCACTTTGACCTAGGGGCTTCCAGTCCATACTCTGCACAGATGTTCCTGTACACGACACCAGCCACTTGGTTGTGGTGTTCCATGGATGCTTTCCCTGCCAGCATCTCACACCCTGCAGATATGTGGTGGATTGTGTCAGGGTTCTACACCTTGGGTCTTGTCTGGTGTGGTAGATCTTGGCTTCTGTTGCTCTGGTATTCAGGGCCTGAGTGTACTACTTCTTCTGAAGCAGTTCAGCCATGCTAACCCAGACAAGACAGCTTCATTCATAAAGCACGTTTTTAGACAGCGGCACTCCATGTGCTTTAGCAGCATGAACAAACAGAATATCAATAAATTTTTTCACTGAGAAGAACTAAATGGGGTCAGCCAGGAATTATTAATGAAGTGAAAACAAAGATTAAGCTGAAGGTGTCAGGAATCAGGTGATGTAGGTGCAAAGGGTTAATAGGGTGGGCGTGGTCAGCGGCAGCTCTGAAACGAATCCTTCTGGAAGGTTCTGAGGTTTACGTGAGCGGGATTTGTTGCAGAGACGTTTATGAAAAACCATAGAACCATTACAACTTAAGGAGAAAGTCACGGTGTGTCTCCTTTAACGTAGATGTGAGCAGCAGCATCGTATATCAGAGCTGTTCGTGAGGACCAGGATGTGACAACAGCTGAGTTTAGGTTCTTAGTGCTGCTGCACCACACCTCATAACTCCTCCTCAGATCTGGGACACGACAAACACACAGTAACTAGTCCTCTGTCTCATTGCTGATTATTGTTCAGCTGGTTGTTTAAGGGTCACTGGGTCCATGGCTTCAGTAACTAAACACAGGTGTTCTTTGTGATGTAATCCCATTACTTCAGCTGGGACCAACACCACAGTCTGCTTTCTGTCTGCAGGTGGACTATGAAAGTGAAGATGAAGGTGATGATGCTGAAGAAGATCAGGCTGACCTTGGTCAGGAGGCTGAGAGCCAGGAAAGCCCAGAGTCCAATGCTGTGGAGGAGTCGCAGCATGAGTCTGCAGAAGTGAGAGTGGAGAAGAGGAAGAGCCGAGCAACAAGGCACGCAGAAGAGTCCCCGTCCCAGATGAGGGTCAACTCTGTTCTTCAGCTGCACTCCGCTATAGAGGGATACTCCTTTGATCAGCAGGAGGAGCTCTGGTGTGAGGTGAGGACCAGCTGCAGCTTCATGTGTCCTATCCAGGGGTGTGACCACCAGCACCAGCTGCCTCTCAGCCTCCCTTTAGGGACCACATAGCTGAGAGGATGTCTTTAGAACGGAAAACAGAACCATCATTTCAAAAGACGAGACGTTCAGAGAACTGGGTTCTGGGCATGGTTTGGGTCCCGACCAGGAGCGGACTGGGACGATAACGGAGTTGAAGGTTCACCAGGGGCGTCAATGACACTCCAGCTGTTCTGTGAGTGCCCATCCACCTCTGGTCTCGACCCAGATCTGTGCTACAGGACCAGGGGTTCCAGCTGGAGTGGATAAAGAGCAGGTGATATAGTTCAATCACCCTTGTCGTTTCCAGGCTGTTTTCTGATGAATCTCAACACATGATGTTATGTAAATAGGTTAAAAGCATGAAACACAACACCAGCAAGACACTTGTACGCCACAGATCAAGGTGAAAAACGCTTGCTGATTGAAGTGAGTCTTGAATGGGCTGTGATGGGTCCCCTGATTGGACGTCTCAGACTATAATCATAGCACCGACACTTATAATCATTGCAACCCTAGCATCAGTATAAGCAGCCATCCACCATGACTCACTGGGGATGGAGAAGACAGAGCAGACACACACACACATACTGTTTCGATGGCTCCATTGTGATTTCTTAGTAAATATTCTATTTACCTACTGTAAACCCACTGGAGGTGAAAATCAAACCCGTTTGATATTTTCCCCCTCACGGGGGGTAGAAACTCACCATTTGTGCACTACATGAGCTGCTGGCTGAGCTGAAATATTCTAGTGGCCAATCAAAGCGCGTTTTCCGCTCGCATGATTCCAAGATGGTAGCCCCTGTCTGCATGTGAGAAAAATAAACAAAAACTGCCCATTGTCCAGACTGATGAATTTGACATGCAGGAAACCCCGCTGGCTACCCACCAATCAGAGGCTCCCCCCATCGTACAGGGTTGTTATTGTCACAATGTGGGAAGTCCAGACGGTGTTTCACCGTACGCCGCAAGATTTCTGTGAGTCAGACTGTACGACGTCTCGCCCCAACAGGACACGCTACATCATGAGCGCATCTTCCAAAGCGTACATCGCTAAGAACAAATCTGAAGAGACAAAATAAAGCACCGCCTTTAACATCTGTTTCTAGTGTCAGCTCATGACCCAGCTCCTCTTCCTCAAAGAGGAAGGATCATTTTTAAAACCCTCGCTTTGGCGTCAGACTCCGGCTGCGGGGCTCCCTTTCTCGTCTTCCAGCTAAACAGCCGATCTGTCTGCTGGACATTCATCCTTCTGCTTTATACATAAAAAACCCACTAAACTACAGAGAAGTAACGATCTGTCACAGATCTCTGTCTCACTATTTACTCCAAAACTCTGTGACATCACATCACATTCGCTGTCACAGAGCACAGCTTCCTCTGTCCCTCTGCAGCTAAATGCTACTGAACCATCCCTTTCGGTTGAATATGTGAGATTTCCACCAACAGCAAAGGGATCTCATGTTGTTGTGATTTATTTTTCATGTTTGTGAGCTCATCTCCAAGCACAGTTAAAGTAAAACTGTAGTTTAACTATTTTAGTATAACTCTGGTTTAACTTGGGCTATTAACAGAAATAACATCTGGTACTGCTGTAGTTTATGTAGTTTATGGTGTAAAACTGGTGTAGTTTATAATCCACATTTTAAACATAAATTGAAACTGAAGCTCAGAGAGGCGGAGTCTTGCTGCTGTGGCATCCCAAAGGTGTGTTTTCATCGGTCCGTTGCAGGCAGGGGTTGTAGGTTTTCAAGCATGCTTGTAGACTGTTTGAGGCTGATTTGGTCGTGAGACGCCTCAAAAATCTGTCGCTGAGCCGGTCAGACTGGATGTTCACAGGAATGCTTGTCACCCACACGCTCACCGTTTTTTGTCACGATTCTGCTCTGGATGAGGGATTTAGCTAAGATGGCCAACCAGTCGACAGCGGGTATGTTGAGTCAGCTCAGCTCAGAGCAGACTGCCAGGACAGTAGGTCTGTAAAAATGGTCGCTTGAGCACAGAAACTACACAGGCTACCCAGATGTAGGGTTGTCACGGTATGAAAATTTAACCTCACGGTTATTGTGACCAAAATTATCACGGTTTTCGGTATTATCGCGGTATTTTTTAAACGGTGTTGCATATGTTCAGAAAGCATTGATAGTCCTGTTCTACACAAACTGAAATAGTTCTGAAAAGGTTTAACAGTGTTTATTAAACCTAAAATAACACAAAGCCTTAGCAAAAGTGCAACTTTTCACAAGTAAAGGAACAAATAGCTTATTTTTCTGGAACATGTTACAGTAGTCAGTGCAGGTTTAAATTATACAAATCCAAACATTCAAAACATAAACAATATGTAAACAAATCAAAGAAACACCACTTGTTTTCTCATATACTTGTTTTCTTCATTATCAAAATGAAAATCTAAAACTCCAGTCCACACTTGACTTGAGCACTGTACAAGTCAACCTTAAAAAAATATGTATTTAAAATAAATAGCCACTTTAAACAAATTACTAAAATAACTACTACACTATGTAATCAAATCCAAATGTTCAAGTATAAATGGCATTGAATAAGTAAACAAATCCATGACAAGGAACTAATTGTATATTTCTCTTCATCATCAACAAATAAGATGCTTCATCCAGCAACAGGGTGTCCGTGACACGGTTTAAATGCTGGCAGAGGACGCTGCGGCTGCAGTATATAGTGACTCGTTGCATTCTCCCTCAGCCAAAAGTCCTCACGTCATGCATTTCAGCTAAAATGCTAATGTTAACTTACCTTGCACTGGCTGTAGAGACGTGGGTGATTGTCACGCAGATGTGCCATGAGATTTGAAGTGTTGCTGCCTTTTGCAGACACTTGTTTCCTGCACGTTCTGCAAACGGGATAGCCGTCTTCTATTAACTGTCCCTCAGCATTTTTCAGAAATCCCAAATATGCCCATACTTCCGATTTAGTCTTCTTTGAGGGCTGATGGATGTCCTGGGCGCTGCCGTCGCCTCCTTCGGCCATTATTTCAGCTTCAAAGTTTTGGTGCCGTTGCAAATTAAAAAGTGCGTGTGCGCGCAGCGGGAACTTCAGCTGAAGCGACGGTGGCTGGTAAGGGTCATCGCGCCGAAACCGCGGCCACGGTAAACCCACCGAGATAATATAGTTTTTTAAAAACTGGACGGTTATTTTTATTGTCAACTTTTTTACCGGGGTTTACCGCTATACCGGTTACCGTGACAACCCTACCCAGATGTGAACACAATACACCAAATGAGGGTGGGCCGTGCTGACCCAGATGTGTCGTAAGTGAGTTCACATGGACTAATAAACAGGTTAGTTGAGTTCTCTCAAAGCACTAGACAAAACACCCAGTCAGGTCCAGACTGAAGCCTCCAGTTGTGTCATAACAGTATTTGGTTATGTGGTGGATGAGTGTCGTTGCACATTGCCTTTTCCCATGACAACATAAAGAAACCACCTCACCTGGCTTTCTGATCCTGTTTCACTTTTCATGTGTCTTTGGAGATGCAGCCATGGGTCCCAACAGAACCTGGATCTGTCAGACAAAACATCAAAAACAGCACATCTCATTTCAAGTCTCACTGGGTCAAGCAGCATGGCAAGTCTCAGACATGCCTCCGCATATGGAGCTGAAAGTTCAGTTTCACTCAGGAGCCACCGACCTTCTACAAGAAGCGGTTATTATTGACGGGGTGGGTTGCACAACAAGGTTTAAACTAAAATGAGCACAAATCATAGATTAGCAAACCGCCTTAACCCGAGAAAGTGAAGACATAAGATACCCTATAGCAGTATGGTAACCCAATGTAAAGTCAGCCTAACCGTGAGACAAACGATTCATTACAAGCACACATTTGATGTTTTTCAGGTCTTTTATGAATGAACAGGATAGAATGGTTTTTATAGCACTATGTTCATGTGTTCATTAAGATGTGGCTGCAGACATAAAAAGCTGCAGCAAAGGAAGACTGTTTGCTGTTACATGAAATAGCCAATCATAAGAGAGCCCTTCCATCCAGTCAGAGGCAAGAAAGGCCAGACCTTCCTTGGACACCCTACACCACTCCGTTCCACCTAGAAAGTGCTCGAAGTCTCCTGTGTGGGAATATTTTAGATTCTCGCAGCTGCTAAAGGAGAAATTCTGGATGATGGATGGTCCATCTGCAGAGCCGGCAGAAAAAACACCTCCAACTTGTTATCGTCTCCGAGATCAGCATGCAGACAAATTAGCTCCAACTGAGTCAGATTACGTTAGTGACTGCAGGTATTTAACGGTTACATTAAAACAATTCACTGGAGGGTTCCTTTAGAAATGTTCTACAGTTCTTCTGTTTGACTGCAACAAGCTGTTTTAACATTTAATCAACAGCACCTCTTTGTAATTCCTGTTCCACATAGCAATAAAGTAATTCATCCAATTAACATTCTTATTGATGACATTTTAAAAGAATTATACAAACAAGGAGAAATTATATTTGAATCCCACTTTAATGACCTTTTTAGCTGTTTAAATAGTTCTCAGTGGTCTTTAAACTGATGTTGTGTTGAGCCTAAATCACAGAACCGGTCGTTTTCTAGTACTTGGTTTCTACATGGTGGCGTTAGCTCACCTCTGGGTTGGGGGTGGAGCCATAGGCTTGGAGGACAGCGACACTCTAGTAAGGCCCATGACTTACACGCAGGAAACCGGGGTTCGAATCCAGGCTGGGCCCGGTTTCTTCAAATTAGTATAGAAAGTTGGACCGACCTCGCTCGCACACAAGCTGGTCAGATGTTGAAGCAGCGCCGTGCAGCAGGTGGAGGAGACAGTCAGACAGGTGGAGTGGAGGAGGAGCTCGGAGCGACAGACAGAGCAGGTGTGTGACCTCTAGCAACAATCCAAGCATTTCGTCCCCAATTGCAACGCATGTCGGGATGCTGATCACCACTGTGATACTAAAAAAAACTAACTAATTTCAATCAAACAATTATTTGAAATCATTTTACATCGTTGCTGCGTTGTCCAAAAAATCAAAACATCAAAAATCAAACACAAGCTAAATGTGATAAACTCAAAATTCCGAGTTGTTTGAACTGCAGTGAAAAACGTAAACCCAGAAAAAGCATTTCTTCCTGATTTATTTATTCATGGTTCTCTTTTTTCAGAGGTGTAAAGTTTTGCTTCACTAGTGAATTACTGCAGGTAAAATGATGCTTTGCTGTGTTTTTGTTGACAATATTCAATGATACAATTAAAGACATTAAGTTGGGGGCCTAAAAACTTAAGTAGTAAATAAACTGAACATACTTTTTAAATTTCTATTGACATGTTGTGTAGAATACGCCGTATGATCCCTAAGTGTCCATTCTGATGAGGAAATAAAGTTATACTTTCATTTAGTGGTAATATACTGTGTGATGCACAGATCTGCAACTTCTTTACTTTTAATCAATAAATTCATAATATTGTGTTGCAAGTATCAATAAAGAAGAAGACACTATCTTTTCTACAGCGCCTCAACATGAAAATCACGAGGCGCTTCACGAAAACAAAAAAAAATATATAAAAAAGAATCTCGAAAATTATTAAAATATGTTTAAAATAAGCACAATTTGACAATTGTGATTAAGAAAATGTAAAGAAAAATGTAAAGAAAGAGAGAGTGAATAGGAATGAGGGAAATCAGTGGATCCTGAGGAAGGTTGAGTAGGTAGGGAGAGCAGAATAAGGAGAGGGTGATGATGAAGGTCCCACCAAAGCCTGAACAGGTGAGTCTTCAGCTGCTCTTTGAAGGGACCACTAAAGGACAGGAATGATGCCACTCTGTGAGTTTTGTATGCAGGACTGAGATGGTCTTTTATCCCTCAAATAAATGACATATGAAACTCAACGCTCAGAGCACAGGTGTGACCTATTGATTTATTTGCTTAAGAATAATAATCCATTTAATTTCTCTGTGAAAGCAAAAAAACCCTCATTGTTTTACTGACTGAAACGCACTAAAACCCAAAAGCATTTTTATCCAAAAGACTACAACGAAGACTGCAGCCAGGCACCCATGTCTTTAGAATGATGTTATTAAATAAACCCCTCCTCCTTTCACCCTCTCAGGTCCAGCTGGCTTTACCTGTGAACAAGGTGCACTTCGACCTGACCTCAGTTCTGTCAGCGATCGCCGAGAACGCCGTCGTAATGGAGACCAGGGGCCTTACACGCTGTCTGCTGAGTGAGACCATGACCAAGTCTGGGGAGAAACAGACTGTTCTCAACACGGAGGGCATCAACATGCATGAAATGTTCAAGTACAGCGATGTACGTGGCGAGTTTTATTCAAGACCTCAAACATGATAAACAGTGGAGCTTAGGGAAATTCAATATTACATGTTTGTTTTACAACAGACCACCTTTAGAGGGTGCAAGCCACTGCTTTGTTGCTGCTGGTATAAAAACAATTCACACAGTTCTGAGAAACCTAATGCACAGTTTTATCTGTCAGCTCAACCAATGTGGGAAAGAAATCATTTGGAATTTGCCTAAAATCACAGATAGTGCCACTCACTACCAGTCAGCACTGTGGTGTCACTGGACGTTGTTTGCTTTGATCTTGTGTGTTTGTTTTTCTTTCTTTTTGTTTCTGTTGATAAGCCCTTTTGGTTCAGGATACTGCCTTTTGGTTGAGGATACTCCCTGTTGGTTCAGGCTATGCCATGTTAGTTCAGACTGCATCCTGTTGGCGTGGGCTACATCATGTTGGTTCAGGATACGCCCTGGTGGTTCAGGCTATGCCATGTTAGTTCAGACTGCATCCTGTTGGCGTGGGCTACATCATGTTGGTTCAGGATACGCCCTGGTGGTTCAGGATACGCCCTGTTGGTGTGGGCTACTCCTTGTTGGAGCAGTTGGTTCACGCTTTGCCCTGTTGGTTCAGACTGCGTCCTGTTGGTGTGGGCAACGCCCTGTTGGTTCAGGATACTGCCTTTTGGTTCAGGATACGCCCTGTTGGTTCAGGAGTCTGCCTTTTGGTTCAGGCTGTTATGCCCTGTTGGTTCAGACTGCATCCTGTTGATGTGGGCTATGCCCTGTTGGTTCAGGATACGCCCTGTTAGTTCAGGATACTGCCTTTTGGTTCGGGATATGCCCTGGTGGTTCAGGATACGCCCTGTTGGTGTGGGCTACTCCTTGTTGGAGCAGTTGGTTCACGCTTTGCCCTGTTGGTTCAGACTGCGTCCTGTTGGTGTAGGCAACGCCCTGTTGGTTCAGGATACTGCCTTTTGGTTCAGGATACGCCCTGTTGGTTCAGGCTGTTATGCCCTGTTGGTTCAGACTGCATCCTGTTTTTGTGGGCTATGCCCTGTTGGTTCAGGATACGCCCTGTTGGTTCAGGATACGCCCTGTTGGTTCAGGATACTGCCTTTTGGTTCAGGATACTGCCTTTTGGTTCGGGATATGCCCTGTTGGATCACGCTTTGCCCTGTTGGTTCAGGCTACGCCATGTTGGTTCAGGATACTGCCATTTGGTTTAGGTTATGCCCTGTTTGAGCAGTTGGTTCACACTTTGCCCTGTTGGTTCAGACTGTGTCCTGTTGGTTCAGGATACTGCCTTTTTGTTTAGTCTATGCCCAGTTGGTTCAGACTGCATCCCGTTGGTGGTGGCTACGCCCTGTTGGTTCAGGATACTGCCATTTAGTTCAGGATATGCTCTGTTGGTTCAGGCTATGCCCTGTTGGTTCAGACTGTGTTCTGTTGTTGTGGGCAACGCCATGTTGGTTCAGGATACACCCTTTTAGTTCAGGATACTGCCTTTTGGTTCAGGATACGTCCTGTTGGTTCATGCTATGCCCTGTTGGTTCAGCTTGCATCCTGTTGGCGTGGGCTACGCCCTGTTGGTTCAGGATACGCCCTGGTGGTTCAGGATATGCCCTGGTGGTTCAGGATATGCCCTGGTGGTGTGGGCTACTCCTTGTTGGAGCAGTTGGTTCACGCTTTGCACTGTTGGTTCAGACTGTGTCCTGTTGGTGTGGGCAACGCCCTGTTTGTGTGGGCTACTCCTTGTTGGAGCAGTTGGTTCACGCTTTGCCCTGTTGGTTCAGGATACTGCCTTTTGGTTCAGGATACTGCCTTTTTGTTCAGGATTCTGCCTTTTGGTTCAGGCTATGCCCTGTTGGTTCAGGCTATGCCCTGTTGGTGTGGGCTACGCCCTGTTGGTGTGGGCTACTCCTTGTTTGAGCAGTTGGTTCACGCTTTGCCCTGTTGGTTCAGGATACTACCTTTTGTTTCAGGGTACGCCCTGTTGGTTCAGGATACGCCCAATTGGTTCAGGATACTGCCTTTTGGTTCAGGTTATGCCCTGTTGGTTCAGACTGTGTCCTGTTGGTGTGGGCTACGCCCTGTTGGTTCAGGCTATGCCCTGTTGGATTTGACTGCGTCTTGTTGGTGTGGGCTACGCCCTGTTGGTTCAGGATACGCCCTGTTGGTGCAGGATACTGCCTTTTGGTGCAGGATATGCCCTGTTTGTTCACACTTTGCCCTGTTGGTTCAGGCTACGCCATGTTGGTTCAGGATACTGCCTTTTGGTTTAGGCCAGGGGTGTCAAACTCATTTTAGCTCAGGAGCCACATTGAGGGAAATCTAGTCCCAAGTGGGCCGGACCGGTAAATAAAAAAAAACTTCAGATTGTTTTCTTTGTTTTAATATAATCAATATAAAACAAGGCTGGAGCCTGAGGACAGTGTAGTACAAGTACAACACCTGAAGTGTACTTGAAAATTTGAAAAAAAAAAAAAGAAAAAGAAATCAACAAATAAAAAAAATTCCTTAGTGATTCAAAGAGCTTACAGATCACATGGCAAGATCAGTTTCATGCAGCACTTACAGTATATTTGACTCATTTTACTTTACATCTTTTAGCTTTCACCAGCGCATCAATATCAGAAGTCACATCCTGAGTGGCAGCCAACTTCAGGATGTGATTCACGTTCTTGTGTGAGCCTTGAGCGTAGCTTTGTTTTATTTATACTCATTACAGAGAAAACTTGCTCACAATGATAAGTTTATTTTCACTCTACATTGTAAAGTACGAAAATAAAGTTTACACAACCATCTCGCAGGCCGGATTTAACCCGCTTGCGGGCCGGATCCGGCCCGCAGGTCGCATATTTGACACCCCTGGTTTAGGCTATGTCCTGTTTGAGCAGTTGGTTCACACTTTGCCCTGTTGGTTCAGACTGTGTCCTGTTGGTTCAGGATACTGCCTTTTGGTTTATTCTATGCCCAGTTGGTTCAGACTGCATCCCGTTGGTGGTGGCTATGCCCTGTTGGTTCAGAATACTGCCTTTTAGTTCAGGATATGCTCTGTTGGTCCAGGCTATGCTCTGTTGGTTCAGATTGTGTCCTGTTGGCGTGGGCTACGCCCTGTTGGTTCAGAATACACCCTGGTGGTGTGGGCTACTCCTTGTTGGAGCAGTTGGTTCACGCTTTGCCCTGTTGGTTCAGACTGCGTCCTGTTGGTGTGGGCAACGCCCTGTTGGTTCAGGATACGCCCTGTTGGTTCAGGATACACCCTGTTGGTTCAGGATATGCCCTGTTGGTTCAGGATACTGCCTTTTGGTTCAGGATTCTGCCTTTTGGTTCAGGCTATGCCCTGTTGGTTCAGGCTTTGCCCTGTTGGTTCAGGTTATGCCATGTTGGTTCAGGATACTGCCTTTTGGTTTAGGGTCTGCCCTGTTTGAGCAGTTGGTTCACACTTTGCCCTGTTGGTTCAGACTGTGTCCTGTTGGTTCAGGATACTGCCTTTTGGTTTAGTCTATGCCCAGTTCGTTCAGACTGCATCCTGTTGGTGGCGGCTACGTCCTGTTGGTTCAGGATATGCCTTGTTGGTTCAGGTACTGCCTTTTAGTTCAGGATATTCTCTGTTGGATCAGGCTATGCGCTGTTGGTTCAGACTGCATTCTGTTGGCGTGGGCTATGCCCTGTTGGTTCAGGATACTGCCTTGTGGTTCAGGATATGCCCTGTTGGTTCAGGCAATGCCCTGTTGGTTCAGACTGCGTCCTGTTGGCGTGGGCTATGCCCTGTTGTTTCAGGATACGCCCTGGTGGTTCAGGATATGCCCTAGTGGTGTGGGCTACTCCTTGTTGGAGCAGTTGGTTCACGTGTTGCCTTGTTGGTTCAGTAGGGCTGGGGGTAAACGATTATTTTTAAAACGATTATTCTGACGATTATTTTATCGAATAGTCGACTATTCTAATGACTATTTAGAAAATTAATCTAATGATTATTTTTCTATTGCACAATTAACAAAAACCAGAAAATCTCAAATAAATTCCTCAAAAAAATTGATTAATTGGTACTGTGGGAGAATAAACACTACAGGCCTTCCATTTTGTATAACATTGCTTTTATTGTGTTGCGGTTGGTTATGTTCTGGTGACGTGTAGAACTTGGGAGTGCAGGCTGCTGCCTGAGAGGTGGTAGAAGATGGAGTGTCTCCATGCTGCTTTGTTTTGGTCACTTATGTGTGTGAGGCGAGTGGTGTTACGACTCTTCCTGGGGAGTTTGGCTCGTGTGCAAAAAGGAAGGGACAATAATGGGATTTAAAAGTCTGAAAGAAGCTCCCTTATGAAGGGAGAAATGCTCCCGGTGATTTTCTACATCTGCGGTAGAGACGAATCAGCGCATCTGACCCCGGAAGTTGTCGTCCGTTGCCGGGAGACGAAGGCGGGCAAAACAGGAAAATAATCTAGTGGTGGACGGACATTGTTCCGGGTCTTCGGTATTTGGCGGAGATGTAAGTGAAGGCGGAGAAGAGGGCGAACTAGAGGACGAAAAACAGGCAGATTCCTCCTCTATTTACAAACTCCTGGGGATGCAACAAGTGGGCGTGGAGCGTCGACTTCCGGATCTGACGTCGACAAATTTTTAGAATCGAGCCGTCGACGTCGTCGAGGCTTCGCTACAGCCCTATGGTTCAGACTGCGTCCTGTTGGTGTGGGCAACACCCTGTTGGTTCAGGATACTGCCTTTTGGTTCAGGATATGCATTGTTGGTTCACGATTCTGCCTTTTGGTTCAGGATACTGCCTATTGGTTCAGGCTGTTATGCCATGTTGGTTCAGACTGCGTTCTGTTTTTGTGGGCTATGCCCTGTTAGTTCAGGATATGCCCTGTTGGTTCAGGCTATGCCCTGTTGGTTCAGACTGCATCCTGTTGGTGTGGGCTATGCCCTGTTGGTTCAGGATACGCCTTGTTGGTTCAGGATACTGCCTTTTGGTTCAGGATACGCCCTGTTGGTTCAGGCTATGCCCTGTTGGTTCAGACTGAGTCCTGCTGGTGTGGGCTATGCCCTGTTGGTTCAGGATACTCCTTTTGGTTCAGGATACGCCCTGCTGGTTCAGACTGTGTCCTGTTGGTTCAGGATACACCCTGTTGGTGTGGGCTACTCCTTCTTGGAGCAGTTGGTTCACGCTTTGCCCTGTTGGTTCAGACTGCGTCCTGTTGGTGTGGGCTATGCCCTGTTGTTTCAGGATACTGCCTTTTGGTTCAGGATACTGCCTTTTGTTTCAGGATATGCCCTGTTGGTTCAGGCAATGCCCTGTTGGTGTGGGCTATGCCCTGTTGTTTCAGGATATGCCCTGGTGGTTCAGGATATGCCCTAGTGGTGTGGGCTACTCCTTGTTGGAGCAGTTGGTTCACGTGTTGCCCTGTTGGTTCAGACTGCGCCCTGTTGGTGTGGGCAACACCCTGTTGGTTCAGGATACTGCCTTTTGGTTCAGGATACGCCTTGTTGGTTCAAGATTCTGCCTTTTGGTTCAGGATACTGCCTTTTGGTTCAGGCTGTTTTGCCATGTTGGTTCAGACTGCGTTCTGTTTTTGTGGGTTATGCCCTGTTAGTTCAGGATATGCCCTGTTGGTTCAGGCTATGCCCTGTTGGTTCAGACTGCATCCTGTTGGTGTGGGCTATGCCCTGTTGGTTCAGGATACGCCCTGTTGGTTCAGACTGTGTCCTGTTGGTTCAGGATACACCCTGTTGGTGTGGGCTACTCCTTCTTGGAGCAGTTGGTTCACGCTTTGCCCTGTTGGTTCAGACTGCGTCCTGTTGGTGTGGGCTATGCCCTGTTGTTTCAGGATACTGCCTTTTGGTTCAGGATACTGCCTTTTGGTTCAGGATACGCCCTGTTGGTTCAGGATACGCCCTGTTGGTTCAGGATCCTGTTGGTTCAGATACGCCCTGTTGGTTCAGGATACGCCCTGTTGGTTCAGGATACACCCTGTTGGTTCAAGCTTGTACACGTTCTGCTGCTGTTTCTCACCAGTGTCAGCTGATGGAGGGCTCTAGTTTCGTTGTGCCGTTTGTGTCAGTGGACATGGTATGGTCGGGCAGGGGGGCGGGGCCTGACGCTTAGCCTGGCGGGCCGCCAGGCTTATAAAGCGCTGCAGCAAACCCTGTTTTTTAATCAAAGAGCTATTATTACCTGTTTCACAGAGTAAATAAAACACTGGGAGCCACAGCAGCCGCGGCATTGTGGGTGGGCCTACTGGGTCTGAGCAGGTGATGCTTTTTGATGGGTCACACATAGGACTGGGCGATATGGCCTAATATCAATATCACGATTTATTGAGGTTTTAACCTCGATAACGATAAATGGACGATAACTACAGGTATATGCAGAAACAAAAGTTGTCCACCAGATGGGGCTGTCACATGTATCAAGGTGGTACAGCTTCTTAATGGGACCTGAATGTTGCCAACCTTCACTCATCTTTTCATTTTTTATTATCAAATTTATTGACATGGGAAAAATTATCATAAGAGTCAGAAATTTCTATAACGATACATTTTTGTTTTATTCCCCAGCCCTAGTCACCCACGTCTCCTTTTAACCCTCTGGAGGCAGGAGTTGCAGATTTGCAACGTTAAAACCTACCTACCTGGTTACTCCATATATGTATTTCATGAGCATTTTTTAACTCAGAAGTACCGGGCTCGACACACGGGAGGCGACAAATGACCGCGATCAGCGAAATTCGTTGCTGTCGCTGTCGCTTTTATTAGCTGACACACGGAAGGCGATTCACGGCAGCGGCCAGCGGCAAAGCCGTCTACACATTCTGTTCCATGGCAAAATGGAAACTTCCGTTGTTTTGTTTGGCTGTGTCAGGTTGGAGGGAATTAAGGTTATTTAAGCAGTTCAGAGTTAAAAATTGGTAGATATGATGTTTCACAAGGTGCTGCTAGAGTTATGAGAAATCTTACTTCTGATTTTACTTTATAAAACATAATAATAATCAACTTCTCCTTCATGTTTACTCGAATATGTACGGAGCATCCTGTCCGCTCATTGGTCAGTGAATGAAACCTCCGTTGATTGGTCCGAGCGACAGCGATGAAAAGTTTAAAATATTTCAACTTTCTGGGATCGCGTCGCTGGGTCGCCTGTGCATGACACGTGCACGAGCGCAAAAATTCACACGCACGTTTTTCGCGTTTCGCTTAGTAGGAGGGAGACTCACGATTATCGCTTTGTCTCATTGAAAATGAATGGAGGAGAGGCGATGTCACCTCCCGTGTGTCGAGTTGTTCGTCCTTTTATCAAAACTTATTTTGAGCCTGAGAGGGTTAAAACATGTTTAAACTGTTCAGAATACAAATCCAGACTGTCTCGTTGGATTGTTGTAATTAAACTTTGTACTGAACGAAACTTTACAGTAAACAATGTTGAAAAGGGCAAGAAAAGGTTCCGGTCAATTTGTCTTTTTCCCTCGTTTACAGTCATGGCGATAATAACGCAGAGCACATGGCTCTGGTGTTAATCACGTTTGTTTCTCTTTGCAACAATCTTCACAAGAAGGCAAAACAGTTAAATAACAGGGTTTGCACTAAGTTCTGTGAATGAGGCCGCTGGTACTAGATAATCTGTGGTTGAACCTATACAAGCACTTGTGATTTATGCTGTAGTGGTTTGTGTCTGCAGGTCCTGGATGTCAACAGGCTGTACTCTAATGAAGTGCATGCCATGGCTCAGACCTACGGGATAGAAGTGGCTCTAAAAGTCATAGAGAAGGAGATCAAAGATGTCTTTGCTGTGTATGGTATGGCTCTGCTCACACACACCAACACACACCTGACAGAAGGCTCAGGCTGACCTCTCATCTCTGTCTCAGGTATTGAGGTGGACCCCAGACATCTGTCCCTCGTGGCAGATTACATGTGTTTTGAAGGTGTTTATAAGCCTTTAAACCGACACGCCATCCAGTCCAACTCCTCCCCCTTGCAGCAGATGACCTTCGAGACCAGCTACAAATTCCTCAAGCAGGCCACCATGCTGGGTAAATATGTTCATCACTAGTGACGCGGTATTAACGTTGTATGGTACGTGTGGTGTAAATGCACTGCAGCGCTCCATGAGCCTCTTTGTTAGAGCTGAAGCTCAGATCACCAGAGACTGCACAGGGACTGAAACACCTTTAGGAGCTGCTTGTTAAAAAAACTTAACGATCACGGCTTCTATCGCAATAAAATCCAAGTTATGTCCAAGATAAACGGAAGTCTGCGGCAGCGCAGAGACCGCCACCATCACCTAATCTTTTATAAAATTGCCACGATTGCGCCACATTACCGCCACGGTCTGATCTTATAAACGACCTTTATCCTCCCCAGGGAGCCGCTGCAAATCCCGTTTTGCAAACGCTATGGTCCTGTGATAACAGCTTTAGAGAAAATGCAACTAGATCCTTGTTGATTAATAACTACAGACCATCTCTAATCTCCTTTCATGGGAACATGGTAGAAAAAGCTGTTATGATCCAGCTGAACAGCTTTTAGTGACAAAAGCCTGCTAGATAGTCTCCAGTCAGGCTGTAGACAACACCACAGCACTGAGACTGCACTGATTAAACTATTAAACGATATTGGTCTAAATACAGTGATGCTCCATCCCACTGCAGCTTTGATACTGAGGACCACAGCATCCTTGATAGGCTCATAACCTGGGTGGGACCTTCAGGCAGAGTGCAGTTGCTTCTAGGTCTTCTAGATTATTTTAATAATCGATGAATTTACCACAGTAATCAATCAAATTATTGGACAAACCCTTGTTTCCATTGCTTTGAAGATATGGTAGAAGTGTAACACAGCAGCACTGTGAACATAAGTCAATAACCTAGCTATAAAACACATTTATTCCTTTTCATTTGCTTCCTGTTGCTCTGGTAAACACCTGGAGCCGAACCCAACTGACGGAGCGCTGCAGCTGTTTAATCAGCTGCTGCTGCTCTGAGCAGGGTATCCGCGAGGCCTTAAAAAGTCTTAAAAAGTTTTAAATTAGCTTTTCCAAATTTTAGGCCTTAAAAATCCTTAAAAATGACAAATAACCCTTAAATGCAATTTCCAAAGGTCTTAAATGACCAAAGATCCAATAAACAAGATTCTTTTATTTCTATAAAAATTTTGTGAATTTCTAGTTAGTGTTCAGCATTTTTTGTGTATGATATTGACGTAAACGGAACCGTACACCTTCAGTTGGTTGTGAAAGGGGGCTATTTTTAGATGAGCACAGTAGCTGGTTAAGCTAGTGGGAGCTCGCGCCATGGGGAAGTGCAAGTTTAATGGTAACTGGATGGCTAATCCCACGTTCGTGACGTGGTTAGCACCGGTTCCAGGCAATAGCTGGAAATTATAGCTTAAATTTAATTAAAAAAAAATAGCTTAAATTTGGTCAAAGTGGCCTTTAAAAAGGTCTTAAAAAGTCATAAATTTGGCTCCTCTAAACCTGCAGATACCCTGTCTGAGATGATCGGCGTTAAGTGGTTTTGTGAGGGGAAAAAACTTTCAGGTGGTCCACCTTGGTAAATGAGTGCAGGTAAAACTAATAAATACACCTGAAAACAATTCCCACCTTTAGTTCACCTCCTCGCATCACTGGAGTAACACTGTTTAATGATCTGATGGTGTGACATGTGTGGGGCACATATGCCTATTGGTTTATAACCTTATTGGAAATGTAGAGTTAGCTAAATATTGGCTATCAGTAAAAAAGGCCAATATTGAGCATCCCTAAATATAACTGGAAATTAAAAACATTTATGGAGTTCTTAAAGTTTTTAGTGCTGACTTGCATAAAAACACGGAGAAAACCAATAACAGACACTTGTAATCTGTTAGCGGTAGCAGCAAAATAACTTAGTTAGCATAGCTGGCCATAGTTTATCTTCCTTAAAACTCTAAATCACACAGCTCTTATGCTGATTCCACGTTTGGCCCAGTTCGGTCCAGATGGTGTTGTTCCGGGTCCCGTACTGGTAGCGCCGTCCCTCCCTATGCACAGATCATGCGTAGTGCATAGGACCCCGCAATCCATGGTGGGCCCAGTTTCACGCAAGAGGACGCACTCTCGTTCACCAGGTGCACCGTGCGCTGAGCACCAACAGAGGCAGCCAGCCCATAAAGGAGAAAGAAAAAATGAGGACTCCGGCGCATGCAGCAGCAGCGCACACCCTCTCCCTCCCGCCGGGTACTTTCTGTCACAGAACCAAGCTGCAGCAACCCCATTTGGCAAAAGAGGAGACATTCTGTCCCATGAGGCACTCCACGCACTGAACACTGATAGAGACGGCCACCACGGAGGAGAGGGGAAATAAGTCATCCGTCACTGCATATGAGGCCACCAGGACCATAGTTGTATGATGGGGGGGGTTTGTTCTCACACACTTCTCAGGAACGTGTCATCTCCGAGCACGCGAGTGAGCCAAAGATGCAGGGAGAAGTCTGTGGTGTCTTAAATGAAACAAAGGCAGTTGGCGGGGAGACAGAGAAAAGGAGATGGCTTCAATCAGAGGCGTTGTTTTACGCTATGGTGTCCGGAATGATAGAGTCATCATGCAAGAAGTCCCCGCTGGCTGATTCTATCTGCCAGTCGGAGGCCTCCCCTAATGCAGGGGCAGCAACCCACAATCTTCAGTATTGGACCAAAAATAACAACAACAATTTCGTCTGGAGCCACAAAAAATGAAAAGCCATGTATACGCCTTATGTGAAGGCAACACAGGCTGTAAGTGCGTATTAGCCCACTATCAAAATCACTAAGTAGGCTACAAATACATGATGAGCATTCATGATTTAGTTTCCAGCAGCGCATCATGGAGAGAACGACATACCACGTCTGCTGTGCAATATTTGGTGCTTCCCTGGCAATATTAAACACATTATTTTTGTTCTTTAAACCTCTAATAAAACAATATACAACCCTCTTCTGTTTTTGCCCGTATCAGAGCCACACAGCCTGCAAGTACAAGAATAAAACAGCAGCCTTTTGAAAAGAGAAGTAGGCTACATAAAACCAAAATAAACTAGTTTCCATTTCAGGGCATTTCCGTACATTAACCTCTTCTCTTAGTTTTCTGCAAATTCCAAGTCAGTGTAATGCAGCAGCATCCTCTTGTCTTTCCCATCTCATCCCAGCAACAGATACAAGCGTCAGCCCTGAGCAATAAAGCACAAGTGTTGTTTCAAATACCGACAAAAACCTTTAACTTTGTCTCTTTATCTTATTCTTACATCTAGTTTTATGACAGATGTTTTTCATCAAGGGCAGCTGGGTGTTGTTGTAGGGGTACTTCCAGTTCATGGAGCTGGTATTTAATAATGCCGTGCTGAGGAGAGATCCGTATCGGCTGGAGTTAGATTAGTAAAGGTTGCTAGTTACTGCAGCAGATCAATCAGTGTGTTGATTTATTCACTACAGCTGCTTTCTTTTTCAGGATCACATGATCAGCTCTCATCGCCCTCAGCCTGTCTGGTGGTGGGTAAAGTGGTCCGAGGTGGAACGGGGCTGTTTGAACTGAAACAACCGCTGCAGCAGAAACCAGCCAGCAGCCACGCTGTGTGACTGCATCTCTGAGCTTTTGCTGAGTCAGCCTAGGTGTGCAGTAATGGATCTTAATCAGCTAACCTCACCAGTCACATGTTCATGCAGAGAAACAGCAGGTCTAGGCGCTGGATGAATGATCCCAGAGCAGATCACAATCACACTTCCATCTTTGTTTTTTAAAGTCTGAAAATAAAAGAATGAAACAGACCTGATGTTTTACTCTGTGAATAGATTGTTTATGTAAACATGTATTTACTTACTGGTGGCAAGAAGAAGCGGAAGTGATGCTGGCTGGAGCTGAGCTCTGATTGGCTGGAGCTGCACGCTCTCCTGGAGGAGGCTGAGCTGGGACGGCGGGTCATTCACCCCGAATAGAAGGGAGCCCGGGCTGGAAGAGGAGTCTCCGGTGTGGACGCTAAGGTAAGAGGCCAAGTAAGCACCGGGACAGGTGTTTAAAGGGCTCCGGTTCAGCACGGAGCTTCTAGTGGGTCAGACACGATCCAGTTTGGACCGGTTGTCATTGCAGCACTGATGAGGCTGGGACATGTGTGGACGTTGTCTTTTGGCTGTCCTCCTGTCCCGTCAGGAACCAGCATGTTTCTGAGGGGACTTTGTGTCAGCCATTTAAACTGATGGTTATCTCTGTTCTCACGACTCAAGTCCGCTAGACGCGGTTATGAACTACTGACGCCCATGGTGCGCTGGTCTGGAGGTCCAGACCAACCGCGCTTCTCCGCTCCGTTCTCTGGTTCTGCACGGTGACCGTTAGCATGTTTGTCTCGTCACCGTGAACGTTTAGCCTTTGTGTGTGTGTGTGTGTGTGTGTGTGTGTGTGTGTGTGTGTGTGTGTGTGTGTGTGTGTGTGTGTGTGTGTGTGTGTGTGTGTGTGTGTGTGTGTGTGTGTGTGTGTGTGTGTGTGTGTGTGTGTGTGTGTGTGTGTGGGAATTACAGCACACACACACACATATGGGCTAGACGTGCTTGCGCCGCTAGTGGCGGGCTGCTGCTAGTGCTAGCTTAGTGTTAGCTTGGTGATGAGTGCCTTGAGTGGGTGTGAGATCCAACTGAACACGGAGACCGTCCCTACAGAAGTACGCTCTACCGAGAACCAGAGGGCAGAACCGTACTCCCGTTACGTCATTAATAATAAAGTAGAAGTATTTAAATGACGTGTTTGGTCCACTTTTCTAATGTTACCGACATTGTTTCCGTCATAGATATGCATGTAAACATATTAGCAGCCGGACATGAAAGACAGCGGTATTTAAGCTTTAGCTGCTCATGTTGGTAGTGGGTTAGCTACGTAGTCTGTAAACAAAATTATCTACAAAAACAGAAAACTTAGTATTTTTGTAAATGTCTATCCTTGTCAGGTGACCTAGCGGGTGCTGTCGCGCGTTGCATGATGGGATAGCTAGGTGTGTAAACAAAGGAAGCAGCTTTGTGTGTTGCAAGTTGATAAACTCCTGTTGTGTGAAGGGCTGCCATGCTATCTTCACAAGAGGACGTTAAAGTTAAATGTAGGCAGGAGTCGCGTTAACTGGATATTTACAGTTATTGACCGTTTATTTTGATGGAGAAATCTCAAGGCTGTTGGTCATCCCGACAGACTGGAATCACCCAGGTGCATGCAGATGAGCAGACATTTTAAACGTCACGAAAAGAGAACATCACAGAGGCAACTAGATATATCGAGAAAAGATTTCCATCTGAACATCATCTCAGACCTGGATACCATGATCAGTGCAGCTATCAGCGGGCGAGGAGCGTCTGTGGGTCACGGCCTAGCAGGCACACTGTTCCTATTTTAGCTGGAATCCTTTAATTGTAACATTAATATGTTGCTGGTCAGCTTGTTTAGACTAAATACTAGAGGTCGGCCGATATTGGTTTTTCTATTGCCGATATCGATATAAGGCGGTCGTGGTCAGCCGATGGCCAACAAGTGCTGCTGATTTTATGGCTGATATCTGGATGTTTGGCACCTCATCAGAATGCTTAATTATCATTAATAACAGCTGTGGGTGCTCACGATTTCAGAACCTAATCTGTTTTTAACCAACTATTGAATCTTAATTTAGTCACTGCTCAGTGGAAACATCAAACATCATCACAAGATTAATAAAATATACCAATAAACTGACCAAATATTAAATAACAAACCAGGTTTCAGAGCATTTATTAAGCAGATGTTTTATAGGGATGTACACATTTACATGTAAGTATAAATAAATGCACCTTTAGAATAGAGACACAGATCCCACAGTGATACCCAACAGCAACCTGTTAAAACACACCAGCAACATCTAAAGTTCATCCAGTCTTTTTAACTGACTGTTTCATAACATCTTCATGTAAAACAGCTTCAGTATTAACTAACTCTTTAGTGCTCTTGACTCAGCAGCAGCTTCTGTGTTAGCCTGGAGACGGGGAACCTTCAGGTTGTGTTTTTACCTTCTTCAGCTCCCAGCTCACCAGCCTCCTGCTGATATCACACCCTCCATTCCTTGGTTTGGCTCCGTGACTAGCTGCCATGCTGGATGTGACTTTTGTTGAGCCATCAGACAGAAACTAAACAGGAGAAACAGTTGTTAGTGTTTGTGTAGAGCATCCATCTTCAGCTGAGTCTGTAGCAGAATGAGCAGAGGAGAACTCAGCACATTACAGTCTATATGATAAATATTAGAGAAACACTCATCTATTAATAACCCTAACTATAAGGGTGGGGCTGTAAGGCTGGGATCAACTGACGACACCTGGTCGAACTAGCTACAAGCTAACCTGAAGCTAACCCAAAGCTTATGCGGAGGTGGGAGCTAAGCTAATGGAGGTAGCAACCTAGCTACAACTGGAGTTAACTGTGCACAACACCAGAGCTTCTGAGTCAGAGATACGCCGGGCTGACCGCTGGGTAAAACCGGGTGAAACACAGAGGTCTCCGAGACCAGGTCTCGGAGACCTCCACAAGCCGGCAGTCGCACAGCACACAGAAGCCGCGATCAGACAGATGCGTCGAGCTGCTGGGAGAACCAGCTGTCAGCCCGCCGCAGCAAACAGGACCCGCGATCAGACAGAGATGCGCCGAGCTGCGGGGAGAAGTGGCGTATTTTGGCGTTCTGGCTTGCCATAAGACCCAGCCGTCAGCCCGCCGCAGCACACAGAAGCCGCGATCAGACAGAGATGGACCGGGCTGCGGGGAGAAACAGCCGGCATTCTGGGTGGAAAACATCGGTCTCCTGAGAGCTCCACAAGCCGATAGTCAGAACCCAGCTCCACCAACATGTTATATTTCAACCTATTTTCTAAAGTGCAGCATTATGTTAAATGCACTGGGGTTTACCCTATTACATTTAAATTTCATGGTTAAACAGTACATGTTAAAATCTAAGCTCAGCTCGGCAGTGACCTAAAATACATAAATATAATTTTACTTACCGAAAAAAATGAAGTGGAGACTCCTTGGATGCTCTATTAGTGCAATTAATGCCACAGCAAGTCATTTTGTCCAACAATTGCACAAATAATATCCAAAGGTGAATACACAAACACAGAGACTCAAAATCCCGGAACAGTTTCCAAGCCAGACCGAGGCTCTACTGAGGCCTTTCCACGGAGCTAGCTCTGTGGTCATGTGGGTCGGATGCTCATTAATTATACAGAATTTTAGGAATACACTTAAACAGAAGAGTGAGAAAAAAATTCACCCGCCCCCTCATAGTTGTCATGAGTGTAAACTAGATCATTTAAACCAAAAACATGTTTTGGAACCAGGCTGTAAACATGTTTATTTCTGCTGTGAAATTGGTATTTTTAACATGGGAGTCAATGAGGATTTGCTCGCTTCTGATACCAGCCCCTAGTGGATGAGGGTGGAACTGCAATTTTTCTTACTTCTGGGTTGGCCTCAATTTTAAAGCCGCATTGTGGGGGCCTGAGCATGAAGAGCGCAAATATTAGATAAAACGTATAATTGCCGACAGGTCTGGTCTTTGTTGACTGATCACTTTGTCTGGTCATGACTGACTTTGATTATGAAGCAGAATATTGACTCTGATGAAGAAATTTACTCATCCAGCCGGGACGATTGACGCTGCTGTGCTGCACGAGAGGTGTGTGGAGTTTACAAGCTCCAAACGTTGGGTTTGATGTTGGTTTAACCTTCTCTGGGACGTGATGGATGTAAAAACTATGGTAAAACACCGCTAACGTGACAAATGTAGCGACAATGTAAAAAAAAAGCCGTTAAAAAAGCGGCAGATGCCGATGCGTTATAAATGGAAGTCAAGTGTGCAACATAATCATAAAAAAGTAAAATATAAAATTTAAAAAGAGATTTATATATAAATTAAACCTTTCCAAATATAATGAAAATTTCTAAATAACGTAAAACTATGAAGGAACATTTGTTGGACAGGCTGAAAAGTTTGGGAACCACTGCTCTAAGTGACAAGTGAATTTCATTTTTAAATATATTTTATGTGCAGTTTTTTAGGGCTTTTATGTTTTCTGTAAAGATTGGTTTGCTGAAAATCATTTAATGTTTTGCATAAAGCATGAGGTTTTGGTTAGTATTGATTGGGAGAATAACAAATGACTGAATTAAATAGTGGAGCGCCTCTGTCAGTGCGCCCCAGGGCAGCTGTGGCTACATTGTAGCTCATCACCATCAGTGTGCGAATGTGTGTGTGAATGGATGAATGATGCACTGTAAAGCGCTTTGGAGTCCTTACTCTGAGAGGCGCTATACAAGTGCGGATCATTTATCATTTATAGTGTTGATCAGGCAGAGCTTTGTTGCCAGCGTTCCGCTGCATAATGGATTCAAACACGTATAAAAAAGTTAGTTTTTATGTAAACCATTGGATGAAATTACACAAACTGACTGAGCTCTAGTTAAGACTCTTGCAATAGTCTGTGTGTGTGTGTGTGTGTGTGTGTGTGTGTGTGCGTGCGTGCATGTGTTTGGGGGAGGGTACATTGGAACTTAGGCCTCCCCCAGTTTGAAAATCCTATCTGCGCCCCTGCCCCTTTGGATCCAAGATGTCAAGAGGAGATGATGACCCCCAAGCACGCAAGTGGTGCTCGCTGCAGAACCACAAAGGCGGAGCTGCACCAGAAGGTGGGGCTGCACCACAGTCAGCCCCGCCCATTCCCCAGAGTCAGCCCCGCCTACTCCATCAGAGTCAGTCCAATTCCTTCCAGTTGTC